CCCAACACGTAATTCGCGTGAGGAATCTCTTTCAAGTGGCACCCACGTTCACCCACCCTGTGAATGGTAATTTTGCCTTGGAAGCGAGAAAGATTTCGCAAGAGAGCCTCTTGTAAACCATAGGCATTAAGTTGTGAACAAGTGTTGTGCTGACAAATGAGGCATTGGACTAGGCATTGGAATGCAGATGTCGAGGTCCTGAATCGTTGCTGTTGGAGGGTAAACTGTTTTGTCCGGATGCTGCAAAGCCCCGAATTGCTACTTCTTCCGAAAAGAAGCCAAAAGGAGGGTCTTGCCGATGTATCTCCACAATGATTATGATACCGTAAGGGGTCTTTTCTCTGCATGTTTTCGATTTAGGAAGGTGATTGACGACCCCAGACTCCGAAATCCGAGTGACCTTGGGCTTTTGGCTCAGAGCTGGAAGTTGTCTTCACGACGTGAATCGCGGATTGTGACCAGACAAGGACTCAAGATTTTGTTCCACCCTCAAACGAATTACAGTATCCATTCTACTCGGATTTTACCGATTGGCGTTTACCCTAAACAATTGGAATGGCGTTTTCCTATTTTACAAGACGGGTTTTACAACACAATGGTGGCAATATCCCACTCAAAATGCGTAGCTTCCACGCGGTGAGTTGATCTTCACTGCGTTTCTGGGCCATGGCGGAAGGGGATGGCGACGGAGCGACGCTCGGAGTCCAATAGTTCTTTGGGGGACAGGGCCAATGCGGGGCTTCATGTCGACCACGGACAAAACTCATTCCCTGAGTTCCTTTTGGCTCTTAAAAAACGGTTGGGAAGATTTGTCGGCAGCCTTTCCTTCAGAACCGAACAAAAGGGGGTTCAACAAATGGGTCTGTCTTTTTGGTTTCCAACAGGAAATCAAAAGGCAAACCACCAAAAGGCTCAAGGTCCCCCTATTTAAAGATACCCAAATGTCCACAATGAACCAGCTGCTATCAGCAACGGTGCAGCATCCGCAAGCTGTGCATGCCAAGGACGGGCCTCGACCGGCCCAAGGACGGCAGATTTCTTGGTGGGCTTCAGGGGTCAAAGCATATCTTACCATTTGCAGCAGGCTGAACACATACATCTATATGTCCATACGTGTATATATCTCTATATACGTATTATCTATATGTTGGGGGTATACTTTTTAGGTTGGCTTCAAAGGCAAGCCAAAAGGAGAACCCTGATTTTGGCCAAATTTTGACACACCCATAGAGTCAGCAAACCGGTTTTCTTCGCCGCCGAGGTGCGGCCAATGAGTTTTTACCGCGGCTTCTGTTAGGGTAACTTGCAGTGCTCGGTACGGAATGACCGTTCCGGGTGTTGGGAATACACCTAAAGATCCCCTTAAAAGGACACCATCGAGGATGATTCACAGGGGTCATTCCCTCATTTCCGTTTGAACACCAGCGAGGTAAAGGGTGATGGTTGTGGAAGAGTGGAGTTTAGGGCAGGGTATTGATATCACTCGTCTATATCAAATACTCCATAGTGATAAGATGGTCATGTGGATGGCCTGGCTTGGGTATCGCACAAAATATCATGCCCCACATTGGGAAACCGAACCCCCTTTTGAGGAAACTGAAACGCATTTGGATTTCCTGGCGATACGTATCCACACAATTGCAGCGCGCTCGCAAAGCTGGTTCATAAGGGAGGGCAGGCCGCAGTGAGGCCGTCAAAAAGCGGCAAGCTGTGTGAATGCGCCTGCGAAAGAATATACGGCTTGCGCATGTGTTGATTTTTCAGATTGAACACGCATTCCTATCCTCCTGGCATAGACCCATGTGTGTGTGTATATCAGTGTATGCGATCGTATTTTTGTGTTGTGGGAAACCTCTTTTGGTTGGTGTTAGAGAGGCAGGCCAAAGAGAGCCCTAAATACGATGTGGGTCTATCTTTCTCGAGGGTACCCTTTTTGTTGGATTCAACTGTGTGTGTTTTGTGGTTTCGAATTGTTGGTTGGCTTTAGCCGCCATGTGCGCTTTTCTCGTGCGGCCTTGCCAAGTTGGGCAACCACCAACTTGGGTCCGAATCCAATGAGACAAAGAGTGATTGCTACAAGTTGCTCAAGCCCGCTCTGAACTTGGCTTGTGATTTTCCAACTTGTTGGCCAACTTTTGTATAGTGCCCAAAAGGATAACCTTTGATTTCCAGGTTGGGCTTTCGTGAGTACAACAAGTTGTTGAAGCAGGCGCGGGAGCCCTGTCGCTGTTCAGAGGTACCATGTGTCATTTTCCCCTGTGTTTTTGGGTAGTTCAAGTTCCCCTTAATTGGTGGTTTGGATTTGAACCCCTGGTTCTTGAGGGTAAATATGAAACCCCTCCGCCGGGCTCAACACCACCAACTTACTTGCGGAGTGCCAAGCGTTGGCTGATGTCCTGTTTTTGTTGTTTCTCTTTTTCCGGTGGGTTTGTCGTGTTTCCCGGTGTTTCACCCGACTTGACGTTCCAACTCAACCGGCCTCGGGGTGCAAGAACAATCAAATTCTCGAGGTTTCGAACTGTTGGCGCGCTTTTTTCCCAGTGTTTCTGGGTTCAAGTTCCCAGTTCATTGGTTTGGATTGGTGATTTCGGGATTTGAACCGCTGGTTCTTGAGGGTAATTAAACTCAGTTGTTCAGTGGCTCCCTGTTTCCATTTTTTGGTGGCTGCCGCACTAAAATGGTCTTCCCAAAAAAGGGTTCCCTTTTTCTCCAGGGTCACTGAACAACTGAGTAAATCTCCTCGAGGAGCCGGAGGAGATGACGGCCTTGGAGCGGGCCGCCTTTGCCGAGCGCTGCCGAGAGATCGGATCGCGAGGCTTCAAGGCGCGGGCGCGCGGTGCGGGGACGGAAACCAGCTGGTGGCTCATGTCCTGAGGTCTAGCCATGGCTTTTGGCTATGGGACCCAAAGTTTCTTGTTTTTGTATTTGCATATATGTATATATATAGTTATATATATATATATATATATGTATTATTCCATGTTCAGCCATGTTATCTTGAAATCCGCCCTGTATCACCAATAAAAAGGAAACAAGCCAGGGCTGCTTTTGGGGATTTAGGGGGAGGGGGAGCCTGTATGGAGTAAACAAGTTGTTTACGAAGGTCCAACTTCAGGGGCCTGTTCCAAAATTGCTTCGGTTCCCCGCAGGAAACTCCAAAGGTGGCCCAAAGACAACTGAGTCCTCCCCCAATGAGAAGACAATAGTCCTCTTCCAATAGAGACTCGATGCCCATAAGCCTTCGTGGAAGTCGTGATGTCGACGCGGAGTCCTTAGCTTCCTCCTTCCCTCCCTTCCTTCCATCCGCAGTTCGGGCAGATAAGTTTCCTTCGTCCCTCCCTTCCCATCCCTGCCCTCCCCCTCCCTCCAATTCCCTTCCCTGGGGTCGGGGGATAGCAATATATGTCAGGATAGCCCCCCCCGGGAGCAAGAGTTCGAGACGGTTCATCGAACAGTGCCTAAACCTAATTCGGGGTGGGGATATGACCCCCCTGGTCAAAGGGAATCCCGTGTCTGGACCTTACACTTGAGAATGCCATGTTTGTGATCCACTGATTCGAAATTAAGACGTACCGGGAAAGGCAAACCTGATTTCCAGTTTGGGGGCCTGCTAGTGGCCTAGTCTTGAAGCCTTTGGTTGAGTAAGAGGATGCCTTTCTTTGTACAAGGGGCCAAGACATCACTGGTATGGTCATGACGTATGGTCATGACGCATAAGGCTGTGGGTCAGAAATAGGTACCGAAAATGGAACCCTGGAAAGTGGAAACGTGGACTAAATCCCGCGGTCCCCAGGTGGTTTAATTTTGACCCATACCCATCACATGGTTGCTGTTGTTTAGTTGTGGCTTAGTCTTTGAAATCCAAATAACACCACTTAACTGCTAAACCTTAAACATGATTGCTCCCCTTCCAACGTCAACCTTAAGATCATTTAGTTCAATACACGGAATTTGGTTGAAGTCGCAGCCGTCGAAGCTCCTGGCGAGGCCGGGGACTGGCAGTATGCAGCGCTGGCCTACTCCGAGGGCCTTCGGTACCTGGCAGCCAGACGAAGAACTCGCTCGGGACGACTTGGCCGGGCATGGGAGTCCATGGGTGTGTCTGTCTGTGTTTTTTTTTTTTTGTGTGTGTGTGTGTGTTTTTCTGTGTTTTTTTCTATGTGTTTTTCTGTGTTTTTTTTTTGTGTGTGTGTTTTTTGTGTGTTTCTCATGGGTATCCCGGACTCTTGGGGTGGATATCGTGGGGATTCGTGTTCAATGTTCAACCTTCGAGGTGAGTTTCTTCTTGAAAGTCGTAGCTTCTCATGGAATCTGACGGGAAGGAGGGCTTTGGGAGACGACTTTCCTTTTCGGAAAGCCCCCGGAAACCATTTCCATACTTGTTGAAACCAGCGTAGGTGTTGAAAGAGGGGAACTACCCATAGCCAGCTCGCAAAACCGACCATGGATTCGGCAAAAGCAGAAACCCGGGTGATAGCGCGTTTTTGGCTCAAGTCTTGGCTATTTGGTTGGATCCTCGGACTTCGACTTTTAGGGAATCGATTTTTGTCTGCTGGACCCACAAGAAGTTAAACTTGTGTAGAGGGATCTCGCCAACCAAGAAGTCACATTTGCTCTCTCTCTTTCACAAGGTGGACATTAAAAAAAAGCCACCGAGACGAACCGCTCGTCTTGCCCCAGATGGATTTTTGTGAGGGTAGCCACGCGGAAAGGCCGATGCGACGGCTGGGCCCTCGCGAGCCGCACGTGGTTTTTTGTTGTTTTTTCTTCGGCGACGGGGAAGCCCAAGGCGCACATTGCCAGTTTTGATGTTGGTGGCCCGAACGCGGAGAAGCGCATCATTTCCCCACCACGTAACGTTTGGGGGGGGGTTCCCGGAATTGGATAGTCACATGTTCCTGCAGAATCGCGGTGTGACCGCACGCCTTTCCTGCATATCGGTGGTCAGACAAAGGCAAGGGGAAGGGCGGCGGCCAATGGAAAGTGGGTGTGGCTCAAAATGCAACAGCTGGGGCAAACCGCAGGTTCTGGTCTTTGTTTCCATATGCCTTTTGGTGCCATTTTGGGGGTTTCATGTTTTTGAGCCACAGCCAAGTGGTGCTTGCCAGAAGGCCGTCTCTTCGCTGACCGCTTTGCAAGGACTTTTCGCCCCGATTTTAGCTGCAGATGTTCACCCGTCCGTTTCTTGCGTACGGATGTGTTGTCACTTTGGGATGGTTCAACCTGGTTTCTCTTTTTGGCTTCTGTGGTTTGAGTTGGTTCCATTTGGTTCAACGGGCACTTGCCGGAGCTTTCAATCAAAGCCCAGGAGTACGAGCCGCATGATGGCGAAATGCAGCCAGACCCGAGCTTCGATCATGGCGGCAAAGCACAGCTGGACAAGGACCGATCCGAGTTGCTGTTAGGTGATGGCCATGTAAAGCTCCTTTAGGAAGAATCCCAAGAGCCTCCCCAAGGAGATTCCTCTGACGCATTCTGACGCATGTTTGTTTGGTTCCATTTTTGGTTATATCCACCAACCATACTTGAGGGCATGGCAAGCAGCATTTGGGGTGCCCCAAGTCCGTTTCCATCCATGGGGCTAGCAAGAAGTTTCTGTGGATTCACCGGGGGGGGGAGGGGGCCTTTCCAACCATCCACGGCCTTGTAAAGCACGCAGTGCTTTTGGGGTTTGTGAATTGTTCAATGGAAACGTTGGATCACCCCCTCCCACCCTCGTGTCTGGGAGCGCAAGTGATCACGCAAGTGAATGCGTAGCATGCCCCACCCCCCACGCCCCACCCGTGACATGCATTGCAAAAGCTCATGCAGCGCGTGGTCCCCGCATGTGTTGGCTAAAGCAAGCTTACCGTGATGAAGGTCGTGGGGGGCAAAACTATGCTTTTGCGCGAGCCATGTTAAAAACTGTGGATGTTGGGTCGGATGTTTTGGGTTAATTTGGAAGGCCACTTGTAAAATACACGCGTTTTTTGGGGTCAAAATTCAGGAAGTTTTGCAGTACTATTTTCGGAGGGGAGTGCTACTCTTGAAATTCATTTGTAGTAGGATCTGTTTCGAGGAAACGTTCTTGGGCAAGACTTCTTTGGAAGGGGCAATGCTATGTGCGAATTGTTTCTGTGCTGGGTTCAGGTTTCAAGAAGCTTGGCAATACTACTTCAAAAAGGCAACTGTTGGTTTCGCATTTGCATCTATTTCCAAAAGTGACCCAGGCCATTAAGTTTATTTTATTTACCCAGACCATCGGCTTGATTTAGTGTGGGGAGCCTATTTCTTTGTGGGGGTCACCTTTAGCTGATTGTTTTGGGACCCTTTTTGAACATGTTGTGCAACAAGCCAATGTATTTGTTGTTCGGTCGGAATTATAAATGCAAGCTAATGGCACCAAAGAATGGAATCAAAAGGGAATAAGCATTGTTTAGGGCTCGTAGCTTCATTTAGGATTGGTTTCTGTTAGTATCACATAACTTTGTTCGAGGTACCCACTTTGGGATGTTTGTTCAGAAGGTGTTACACGAAGGAATTAGTTGACCATGTTCCATAAATGTTTGATGTGCGGTTGGCTTCACAAAAGGAAGCTAGCACTGGCGGAATTGATACGGGTTGAAGCAATCCTTAGGAGGCAATACACGCTTTGCTTTTTTAGGACAGTTTTTGGTAGTGCTACATGACTCGAGGTGGGGGGGATGGGTACCCTTGGCTGATTGCCGGAGGTTGGTTGAGAAGGTTTGAAGCAGGCTTTTCTCAATGCATTACCCCGTCAAAAAATATGAAGGTTGGCTTTATGAAGGGAAGCTGTAATTTCGCCATAGATTAGAATTAAACAGGCCCTTCGGGGCGGGGTTTGCCATGGGGTCGGATGGGTTGAGTGAAGCAGAATAAGGTTGGAGATGGGGTAAGAACTATTTGGGGGCAACAAAATCTTGGCTTCACTTTAGGCTATTTATAATTTTCCCGGCTGACAGGTTGCTTAGCTTTGTTCAGGCTCAATGTCTTCTTCATAAGTGGGCGTCACTCGTTCGACTCTTGCTACTTAGTTACTTCTGGCCTGCTCCAACTAAAATATGCAACATGCCTACTGTTTTTGAGTTCCAAAATGTTTGCTTGGGCAGTTAAGCATATGTGAATTGATATGCCTTGATTCTGATAACCCCGTTCCCTTCCCATGGGGTGTCAAGCTGATCGTGGCTTGGGCAACAAGCGCGCCAACTTTGAAATGCATGACGCATGGTAAACGAAGGCTGGTCCCCACTGCCGTGGCTTCCCACCAAAGGGCATCTAAGATCGCTTCCGGGCTTCGGCAAACTTCCGGCAGCCCACCTTGATACAGTGGCAATCTTCGAGTACGAAGGGTGTTTGTAAGATCATTACTATTGCAGTCCTTTTAGTTTCTGGCATGGTTACTTAGTCCTGTCGAAATCCACTCTTTTTGTATTGCATTTGCAATTTCGCGTGTGTTTGGTCAATTGTGTGCGTGTGTGTGTGTTTTTTTTTCCGCTTTTCCCGCCACGGACCGTTTGTGGCAAAACTGTGGCAAAACTGATTTTGTGGCAAAACTTGTGTGGCAAAACTCTTTTTGTGGCAAAACTGTGGCAAAACCCTTGTGGCAAAACTGTGGCAAAACTCAATACCAAAGTAAAGGGGAGAAGTTTTGCCACAGTTTTGCCACAAAAAAGTTTTGCCACAGTTTTGCCACTAAAGTCTTGCCACAGTTTTGCCACAGTTTTGCCACAAAAAAAGTTTTGCCACAGTTTTGCCACAGTTTTGCCACAAAAAAGTTTTGCCACAGTTTTGCCACAGTTTTGCCACAAACGGTCCGTGGCGGGAAAAGCGGCAAAAAAAAAGAAAAACAAGGAAATGGACCCAAAACACGCGAAATTTGCAAATGCAATAAAAATGAGTGGATTTTGAAAGGACTAAGTAACCATGCCAGAAACTAAAAGGACTGCAATACTAATGATCTTACAAAGACCCTTCGTACTCAAAGATTGCCACTGTATCAAGGTGGGCTGCCGGAAGTTTGCAGATTTTTCACACAATTGTAGCCCGGAAGCGATCTTAGATGACCTTGGTGGGAAGCCACGGCAGTGGGGACCAGCCTTCGTTTACCATGCGCATGCATTTCAAAGTTGGCGCGCTTGTTGCCCAAGACACGCTCAGCTTGACACCCCATGGGAAGGGAAGGGGCTTAGCAGAATCAAGGCACATCAAGGCACATATGCTTAACTGCCCAAGCAAACATTTTGGAACTCAAAAACAGTAGGCATGTTGCATATTTTAGTTGGAGCAGGCCAGAAGTAACTAAGTAGCAAGAGTCGAACGAGTGACGCCCACTTCTGAAGAAGACGTTGAGCCTGAACAAAGCTAAGCAACCTGCCAGACAGGAAAATTATAAATAGCCTAAAGTGAAGCCAAGGGTTTGTTGCCCCCAAATAGTTCTTACCCCATCTCCAACCTTATTCTCTTCACCCATCCCATCCGACCCCATGGCAAACCCCGCCCCGAAGGGCCTGTTTAATTCCAATCTATAGCGAAGAGCTTCCCAACAAAAAACTAACCAAAATTCATTCTTGGGGGTCTATTAGTGTGTTGGTTTATGTGTATACGCATGTGTATGTATGTGCAACCTTCTGTGCAGACACTCCTAAAACAATCAGCCACGGAGCCCTCACAAAGTCATGTAGCGCTACGCAAACCAGCCGTGGCCGACAAAACAACACATATGCACACAGTGTTGCGATATCAAACAACACCGCGTAAAACTAGAGGAATGGGCCCTGTAGCTGTAAACTGGCCACGCTTTCGGAAAAAGTGTCACAAATATTCGAGTGATGTGTTGTGTTCTGGGCTAGTTACCCTTTGCCCATCGACGCATCCACTGTCCGTGTTATAAAACCATTTTGTTTCCCGCTCCATCAGGCTTCATCTCGCCAATTTCGTTGCTGTAGCTAAGGATAAAGATAATCTTGACAGGCCTTCCCTAGATCTTCCATCATAAGAACGCGAAGATCTATCCTACGAGGGCTGAGGCTGAGCCTGTCTCGGCTTGACGGCCGGTCTTTTAAGCAAGACACTAACTTGCTTTTCGCAGACTTGCAGTTGTGTTTTGTCTTGCGTTGGGTAGTGATATGTACAGCATGTTTGTTTAAGGGTGCCCGAAGAGCGACCCTATTTGGTAGGTGCCCAAGTTGGCTGCCACAGGCGCACCCCGCATGCTTTTAACATACCTCGCGCAAAAGCATAGGCAAAACCTACTTTGGGTTGAGAATTATGACAAGATGTACTTTGTGGGTGTTTCCACACGCCCGGCCTCCGCCTGTTTCCTTCAAATGGGAATGATAGCTCTTCGGCTGACTTGTTTAAGGCTGAAAGCCTCATGAAAACCCTCATACACCCCACTTAGGGCTAGTGAGCTATGTCCAACCATACCAGTTGTGGTTGGAAGTTTGTGCCAGGGCACGTCAGGTTTCTAAAAGTTTGCAGGGGCTACCTTTTTCGTTGGTTTCAAACGGAAAACCCCCCTTGTCCATTTGGAGGTCCCAGCCTCAAAAAACCGAAGTGGACCCCAAGCTGAAGTGGACCCCCCGGTTCGCTCCTACGGGTGTAGGACATGGCTCTGGCGGTGACACTGTTCAGCAACCTGGCGGCCGTGACGCTGAGGCCAAGCTGCAACACATATTGGGGAAGGTGTTTTTTCCCGCTTCTTTCGGGACAGGCTTGGATTTGATCTATTCCACCTACATGTATGATATTAAAAAAAATAAGTTGTATGTGTTTTTCACTTGTTTGTTGTTCAATGTTGACCCCGGATCTAAGTAGAACCCTTGGCTGATCAAACAAGGGTGTGCCCCCTTTAGTGTGGATTTAGGAGGGAACCACCCCCCCAATTAATGAGACAGGTTTGTGAATCCTGGGTCAACGTTAATTACCCGAAGGTAGACTTCAACTCGTTTCCTTAGGAAAAAGAACAGCCAGACCTGGCGCTAGCCTCGGTGAAATCGGAGAAATGTTTGGGATGGCTTGGGGCTGTTTCTTTCGGGCGGTGTTTGGGCGAATTGCTGAGAGCCCATTTCGCGCAGATGCCACTCCCGTTGCAACGAACCCATGGCAAACATTGGAAGCACGAACCTTGGCAAGGCGACACTTGTCTTGGAGAGGGGTTTGCGCGCTTTCCCATGTTGGGAGGGAAAAAAACCATGGGCCTCCAAGGGCGTCGAAGGGAAGAGACCATCTGCGAGTTGTTCTCGAGGCCCTTGGGCGAAAACTCGGCTCCGGTTCAGCGGCTTGTGGGGAGAGGATTCCCTTTTTAGCGGACTGGGCCACTGAGCAGGAGAGAGGCTACATTTCAAGGGCCAACGGGACAAGTTTTGAAGGTCATTCGTGGTGGAGCATTTGCCACTGTAGGTGAGGTCTGCTCCATGTTTTGTCAGTGACTAATGTTGACCTCATATTAGTCAAATTCAGTTTGTTCAAAGGGGAGTGTTCCCATGCCAAAGTGATGATTCCCCACTAAGCCACCCTACAAACTGGGGTGTCAACATTCAGATCGAAGCAGAATCACACGAAAATCTGTGCAGATGGCCAGAAAATCCGCGGGTGCAGGGGTGTATTTCAAGCCGAGGAAGCTTGAGGAACCCCGAGACGCATTGGACTACGCGGAGAAGGCGTTGCGTTTTGATCCTCGTCATGTGCCCTTGGCTCAATGCTGTGAGGGGGGGGGGAGGCTTGGTACACGGGGGGCACGTGAGCCAAGAAGAGAGTTCCCTGACATAAGTCTCCGTCACCCCACCCCCCCATCCCATGGCTTCTGATGGATTCCCTTGGAAACATCAAGCCAGTGCTCCCCAAGGGTTTCCTCATTGAAGAGTTTGCACAGTTCCTTGCTTCAGCTTGGCCAGTCCCCGTAAACCATCCTGGTTTCCTAACACCCTGACGGCTCGCCTACCCCACTCCACTCCACTCCAGCCGACGAAAAAACCAATCCAACAGGACACGTTTCCTTTAGGGACCCCAAGCAAGACCGGTTTCCCAAGCCCGGGGCTCGTTGGCGCCTCCCATCTAACACCCCCCGAACTCACAGACTGGGTTCCAGGATGGGAGGCCCCCAGCCCATGTGGCTGACCCCGAAAGAAGCCATGTTTAACTGGTACCTATAGCGGCTTCCCTTTTTCTTATTGGTAACGGGTTTTCCCTCGAGACGAGGGCCCTTTTTTTACGGTTTGATTTTCCCTTTGCCCTTAGAGCAACTAGGTCCCCCAGTAGTGCCCTTTCTCACCCCTTTTTTTGGTTGGGAGGGTTCCCCTACTAACACAGACTACAGAAAGAAGTTGGCACCAACTTATTCGAACCTCTCTACTGGAGGACCTAGTCAACGTCGACCAGTTGATCAAAGTGGGTTCATTAAAAAACATGTTTAACTGGTAACTGGCGGTTTCCCTTTTTTTACGCGGTTGTTTTGAACCTCCCCACGGCAGACTACAAAATAACATAGTCAGCTACTCAATTGGGGTATGTATCAAAATAGGATTTCCCTTTGGCCCCTGTCAAAGTGGCTTCATCTCCACTCGAGGCCAAGGCTGCGCTCCACCGCGCGAATGCACTGCTTGCGCTGGGGGACTATCAGGCGGCCAAGGCGGCGGCACAGGCGTTGGAGCCGGAGATCTCCGCGCGCCTTGGACCAAAGCCTGTTGCAGCCCGTGCCCGGGTTCCACCCCCCCCCCATTTTTTTTGGGGGGGGGAACACCCCCCCCCCCACATGGATGTTTTTTTTTTTTTTGTGGGGCGTTCCTTTGAAGATTGAAAATTCGGAGACATTTTCCCATAAAACTTCGATCTGGGATGAGGTAGCAGGATGTGCTTGGACGTGACGACACATCCTGGATTGTTTGAGAAGATCCAACCCCTAATCTTCAATCCAGACATCCTGTTCGCCCTGGGTTGAAGATTCTCAGGGAAGTATTCTGAAAGTATTAATCGCCAATCTCCCCTCCCTTCCCAGGCTTTCCAGGACGTGCTAGCAGTACGAGCATATCTTCGCAATATGCACAGCGTAGCGCTAAGGAAGTCGATCATTGTTCAAGGTAGGATTTCCAGATTGTTTCCCAGAATGTTTCACCCATCTTACTTCGTGTAGTGCATCCCTTTGGCTAGGAGGTAGGCTTGAAGAGTTCAAGAACATCTTTTCCAATATCTGGAATCTTCTTCAATCCCAGCATGTTTTGATAGATATCAACACCCGCGCCCAAAGTAGCAAAAGTTCGACAAAAGAACATAATATAGCAAAGGGTAGATCTTCGGGGGGGCAGAAACAGTGTGTATATTATATATATATATATGTATACATATATGTGTATGTATGTATACACCTGACTTTCCCCAGTCTGGGAGTCCAGATGGGTGGACCCCAGCTGAATTTTCGACGCCCCAGGAAGGTGGCGGCACAGGCGGAGCGAGCGCTGCGGGAGGCCAAGAGGCAGGAGAAGGCTTTCTTCAGCGACTCGGTGTTCGGTGACATGTCCTCTGCTCTCAAAGAATAAACGGGATATACCCTTTGCTGCATTTTGCTTGGATGTTAGGACTTTAACTTTTTGCCAACTAACGGAATTTCCAGTCAACTATTAAAAGTTTGTTTTTTGTTTAAACCAGGGGAGCAGAAAGCAACCGAGTACCTTTTGCAACCGTCTGGTGCTCGCTCCATCCCTCGCCGCCTTGCCTGAGTCACTGAGACGAGGTGTCTATGTTTCCGGGTGGCCTTTGGCTCTTTAGCTGGTTTCAATCGGAGGCCAAAAAGAAAGCCATTATTCAGGGTGTCCGAGCCATTTCCCTTGTTGAGACCTGGAAAAGTGGCGATCGTTTTAAAGGAAACCACCAAGTTGCAACTTTCGAAGGGGAAACCCAGGCCCTGACAAGACCTAGGAGATTAAAAAACAAGGTTGAATGTCGTGCTGGTTGGACCCCAACTGGCAAACCGGTTTTCTTCTTGGTTTTGATTTGGCGACCGGAATAAGTGGGGTACCCTCAAAAGCTACACCCACATGGTTGATTAATTAGTAGGCGTTGTCCCATTCAACAGAAAATCCGGCTCACTTTTTGGGGAATCTACGGGGTGTGTAGACTTTTTTCAGGCTTCCGTGATGGTGTTACCCTCCCCTCCCACGAATTAACATGGAGCCTGACAGGTGGGTCCTGGAAGACCATTTTCCTCAAGGGACGGTTCCATGTTCATTGGTGGGAGTGCCCGATGTTCGCATCCCGCGGAAAGTCCATCAACGAGCCAAGGCAAGATGCTGAACAGCAGCGCCCGGTGAGCACGGGCTTCTCCGGTAAGCTTCCGGGCGACTGACAGGGCCCCAGATTTCCACTCATCTCCCCTACCTTGGCCCCTGTAGACATGAACTGTCAGAGACTTCGCCAGTTTCTGGGCTTGAAGGCTTGATGCTTTTGTAAGTGAAGAGTAAACCAACAGCTCAACACCTGCCAGATTCTTCATGAATGCAGACTCTTCTGACTTGAGGGAAATCTAGGGGCCCGCCGCCCGCCCCTCCCGGTCAAATGTTTTCAAACACTTCCTGAACTTGGGGGCTGCCTTTCCGCCCCGCACGTAGCATGTTCACATGTCACGGTTCGCTGTGGGTGGTGTTTTTGAGGGGTGCCCCGGAAACCAGAAGGACACCACGCAGTTGAGAGCAGGTTCTGTCCGATACAAACCCATGACCAGAATCTACGAGTACCAGGTTTGTGTTCGGTGAAGAGGCAGTTGTGGGTTTCTAAAGTGAAAGTGACTGCCAGGCACCCCAACAAAGCCCCCCATTTCGAGGCAGTAGATATACAGTTGGGTCAAAGTAGATGGCTCCTGGATTTGGGTTTAGTTCGCTGCACTTAGCCAAATAGAGAAACTAGGTCCCCCAGTAGTGCACTCTTGCCCTTTTTTGGGGGAGGGTTCTTTCATTAAAATAGACTACAGAAAAAAAGGGTACCCTTATTCTATGCTCTCTAGTGGAGGACCTAGGAAAGTTCTGCCATCTACTTTCGCTTTGGTGTACAGCGAGGCTGCCAGGCCCTTGCAAGACGCACAAGGCGCTGCTTAGCTTTTGCACAGGGCGCCACTGCAGTGACCTCGTGGTTCGTTTGGGGCAACGCGCCATGCGGAAAGACGACTGCCGGCAAAGAGTTGGCCAAAATGGCATGAAGTGCTTGCTGTGCCGAGCCGAGAAAGTGTAACTGTGGGCCTTGAGGGACAAACATCGGCAACACATGCCATGGAGGGAAATCAAAGGCCCGCCACCCACCCCCCAACAAAAGGAGTTATCCACATTAGACTCCTAGCATGGAACTTGTGATGCTGCCACGCTGGCCAGTTCGGCTTGGCAAGAGCTGTGTCTTTCCAGAGCCCCGCAATCGTCGAGACCTGCTTCGGATCATTGCGGTGCAGGCAGCTTCACAGGTCTATGGGACTTGTAGAAATTCCGCGGATCAGGAAAGCACATGGGTGCACAAACCGACATGAAAGAGGGCCACTGCCCCAGCCGCTAGCCTTCACCCATTGGACACAACTGGACATTCATGCGGGGGCTTGCGGCACCCTGCAACACTTGTGGCTAATTATCCCAGCTCAATTTGGTTTCAAGGTACCCACGGACAGGGCGCAGAAGGCCATGGGCCCTTCTGGGCGCTCTCCTCGCTCCTGCGCGCTGAGAACCTTCAGAGCGCGGGGGTTCCGGTTCCGCTAAAGAGGCCATGCAGGCGGGTTAGGGTCGGAGCCCTTTTTTGGAACCCGGAGATACGATCATTATGTTGTGCCCATCCCAGGTGTTAGCAGTCTTTGTCTCCATATAGGTGCCATTTTAGCTAGCTTTTTTTAAAGCCACAGCCGTGTGTGTATGCATCCAGTTGAACAGGGCTCCTTAAAAGATACATTTTGCAACCATTTGAAACATGTGGCTTTTTCAACACCAAAATAAGGGGAAACGGAAACCACCATTTACAAGTGGCAATGCTCAGGTATTTCTACTGCATCCGGATCCCTGTTGAACGTCTCGCGTTTTTCTTTCCGCTCCCCGAGCCCGAGCGGTGCAGACGCTCTACACGGTGCTGGGCGTGAGCCGCTCGGCGGAGAATTCGCAGATCCGCGCAGCCTACCGGCACCGGGCCTTGGCCACACACCCGGACAAGGGCGGCAGTGAGGAGGAATTCCTGAAGGCCGGCGGCGTCTTTTTTTCCCCCCCTCTGTTTTTGTTCTTCTCTTTTTTTGCGTATTAGTGTTCGATCGTTTTTTGTTTTGTTTCCAGGTTTTCTGTTTTTCCCCACTCATTGGTTTGGATTTGTTGTTTGGTTATGTTTCGGTTTATCCCGTACAGCAGATTTCATTTCTTCATTTTCCCGCTCATTTGTTTGGTTTTTTTTTACCCCCCCCCCGCTAGCGGATTTCATTTTTTCAGCTTCTACTCATTGCTTGGTGGCTTCCAGCCATCCCCCTAGCCTTTTAGCTTTGTAGTGTTTAGTGGTAGTTACCATTTACCCCACTAAAAGTTAAGCTGTTAGCGGGGGATCTGAGAGAGAGGCAGCCCAGATTGGCTTGGATTTCGATTTGTTGGCCACACTTCGAAGTTCTGTCGACGGGGGGCCGGAGCCGTGCAGGTCGTCGAAGCCTTCGAAGTTCTATCGGATGCCCAAAAGCGCACGACCTACGATGAAGAGCTGCAGAGGCGCGGAGCGGCGGAGCGCGGGGCGGGTGAAAGACCTGAGGCGAGCTCGCGCCAGCAACACATGGGGAGTCTTTTCCAAGACTTGTTTGAACACGTTTCAGGGCAGGCCTAAATATGAAGCGGACTCGGAAAAGACTATTTTCGGCGTAGCCCAGATGTGGGCGATGTGCCAAAACTAGCCGATGCACATGGGAGCCAAGGGGCCAGTTTAAAGTTCCTACAAAGCTCTGAGCCAAAGTAGCCCCGACATCATTTGGCTCGGGACTTGTCCAACTGGGGGATCCAAACGGAGGTGCGGAAGGGAATTTCTGTTTTGAGGCTGCAAAAACCCGTTCACCAAGGTTCGTTCGGGATTACTTCAGGCTGGAGAGTTACTTGAGATGCACGGCCGTGTTGAGAGCAAAGGCGATGGTTTTGGATTCGGTGAACTATGGACGTGAACTGCAGGAGTCCCAGATTAATTAGGGTGTTGAGGCCTGTTTCCCCCCAGAAAAGGTGCAGGTTTATCGTGGACGGTGCCAATCCGAGCCGAAGCGTTGCGGTCTCCCATCCCTTGTTTTCTGGCAGTACCCCTCGTGTGGCAGAGAGTTTTAACAGATCTCAATTATGGCACAATTATCATCCATGATTTCACCTCCCTTATGTATGGAATAAGGCCGTACCCTGGTAAAGGACGTTTCCCGTACGTTTCCCTCGGTGGGCACCATGGGAATCAGGTGAGGCGGGGCTGGTTTGGCACATTTTGCAACCAGTGTTTGTCAATGTTTGGTTTCGAACCCGGTGATAAGACCACCATTTGCCTGTTATTTTGATGGTTTCGCTTTAAGGTTCTGTGCTTTGCTTTCCTTTATCTAGTTACCTTTAACGACCCGCTGGCGTACCCTGAAACAGCCAGCCCTCACTTTGGACCAACCTGTTTTGAAGCAGTCGCCGTAGGACGGGCAGTCAAGACGGGCGAGCGGTGGATAGCGAGGCAGCCGCGGCTCACGCGGATGCTTTTGGCCTGCCTGATTTGGGTGTCTTGGGCGGCAGAAGTGTCATGTGCCTGCCATGATCAAAGCTGTCTCAGAACACACATGCACATACATATATATATATATATATACAAGTATATATACAAGTATATATACAGAGGTGTATACATATTTATACATATAGCGGTATAAGGTTGGCTAAATATGAACATATTGCTTTTGGCGTATCGTGCGGGTAGACAGAGAGAACTCCTGATTTTGGTCATGGTCTTGGTCTCTTCAGAACATTTGCATTGGCTGTTTACCCTGTTTGACAGGTTGCCATCCCCAGCAGCAAGCCTTTTTTGTTCTTTATGACAAACCGGATGTTACCTGCATAAGATGGGTGTGTGTTTTTTCTTCGAGGTGTTTGAGCTTGTTTTCAAATGAACACGGAAGCCACTTTGAGGTAAAATGCCCCCACTTGAAAGATGTTTTTTCCAAGAACCGACGCTATTTTGGTGGGGATCCCCCGTTGGAAGCCAGATGCGTTTCTTAAGCACTCCGTGCGGACCAAGGCAAGACAGAGCCCAACGCGAAGGTCTTGGAGGGCTACAGCGCCTTAGAGGAGGCGGATGCGGATAGAAATTCAGCCCCGAAGTCCACCTAGTTCCTTTTGGGGTTCCCTTCGGTTTCCACTAACCACAAAAAAGCTGGGGTTCCAGCCAAGTTTGGTGGACCCCGGAAAGGTGTACCCCCCAAAAAGAAGGCCGACCCACTTCCCTTTCTCACTTGTCCAGAGCAAATCGACTTTTTGACCTTTTGGTTTCCCCTTTTTGGTCCATCAGTCATGGCCCCAGCAGCAGGTGATCACCTTTTATTCCTGGAGGGTAGCCTCCAAAAGAGCCCAACTTTGAAGGAGACCAAGGTTGGGGGATTCAGTTCTCTTGGGCAAACCGTGGTTAAAAATACTTTTTGTTCAAGGGTCCAGGCAAATGCATCCAGGGTCCAGTAAAAGGATACGGATGGCCAGCTAAACAATCACCCACACACCGGCCGATTCGGGAGCGGATCCGATTCTTTGACAAGCACATGTATCCGTCTATCAGGATTGAACGAATGGGGTTTTCTTGTTTTTCAGGGTGCCCCTTTTTTCCCATGGGAACCGAAAGAGAACTTCTTTGATTGACTAAGTGACCTTTGTTTCAAAATGGATCATAGCACCCAAAACATGAATCGAGGGCACTGAAAAGAAGCGGGTTACCGTTTTTGGTGTGTACCCGATTTTTGCCGACTCCAAAATTTGCCGTCCGCCCGAGATCGGGACGAGGCAAAGCGCGCCAAAAGTTTGTGGCTGGAGCTATTGGAGCGCGACGCCGCAGAGCGAAAGGCGTCGGGAAAACGTCTTGCATTTTGTCCGAAAGCCCCAGTAGTGCCCTTTTCTCCCCTTTTTGGGGGAGGGTTCCCCTACTAAAATAGACTACAGAAAAAAGGTACACTTATCCAGGGCTCCTTAAAAGATACATGTTTGCCCAATTGAATCCTGGCTTTTTCCACCAACATAAGGGCAAACCACCACTGACAAGACAATGCCCGGCTGGAAAATGTAAGGAGCCCTGTTATTCTAAGCTCTCAAATCTGGAGGACCCAGTACTCTTCCAGGCCGTGGCCTCTTCTAAAGGCCAAGCAGTGAGCTTCCTCAAATACCACGCGAACCCTGGAGGAATCGTTTGGGGGGGGGGCTGCCGGACGGAGAAACAAAAAGTCCGGAGTCCCAGTAAAAGGGACACCCCCATGTTGAATGAACCTTAAAAAAATGGCTGCAGCTTCCTCATGCTGGTTTTAATTGGAAGTCCGTGGGTGGCGCTGGTTGAAGTTGTTCAAACCAGCGCTGGCGCATTGAGTGACCAGCAGTTCTATGGCCTGGCCGGTTGAAACTTGCCGATTTCGATCGCCACACATTTTGAGAACCCCCCCCCCAATATGGATTAAACGACCGGGGCGTTTTTTTCCTGAGGAATTGGCAAATCACCGGGTGGGTGGGTGGGACATGTTGGCACCCATTTTGCCATGGGATGAAGGTAAAGCAACCAACCCCTGTTCAAACCAGCTTTGGGACAGCAACATGGAACCACTCAACCCAAAATAGTAAAATAAATGCTGCCGGCCCCCTGCAGAAACCGGGATGAATGATTGCTCATGATCATGCACGGCATGGTTTTTGTTTAGTACCCCTTCAGCACCGCATTCTCACTGGAAAAAGTCGGCTGTTTCCATTTCACCCGTCACTTTGGGCTTTTCCCCAAAGCCACAAAGAGACTCGTTGGCCACCTTTTGGATGGCGCTTGGTCCATATTTCGTCAAGGTTCCAACAGGCTAGCCTTTAGCTAAGTGAGATTCTGCTTGAAACGCGTTTTTGACCCACACAGAGGGTGGCACCTGAGACTGCCGTGCAGGTACAAACACCCGTTTATAGAGGAACCTCCTCTTGGGTTGGGTGGTGGTTGGGGGGTGGTTGGGGGGTGGTGGTGGGTGGTGGTTGGGGGGTGGTGGTTGGGGGGTGGTTGGGGGGGTTGGGGGGGTTGGGGGAGGTGGAGGGTGGGGGGGTTGGGAGTGGGGTTTGGGGGGTTGGGAGGGGGGGTTGGTTGGGGGGGGGGGCTTGGGGGGTCTGTTTGGAAGCGCGGGGTCATGTCAGACTGATTTTGCAGGGTGCCCTCCAGTCACAAAAAACACAAAAACTGGCGCGGTCGACCGCTCCATGGAGCTAGGCCCAGGTGGAGCAGCTCTCCTGCCGTGCTGCGGAGGTGCTGCTGGGCTATGCCCGGCTGTCGGCCGGCGGCGCGCCGGTGGTGGCGGTGGCCCAGGCGGTGGTGGGGAGGGGAGGCGATTGTGTTGAGACCCTGGAGGGGAGGTCCCCAAACCTCCCCCCCCCAAAAAAAAAATGGATGTCTGTTTTTGTTTGTTTCTTTTTTTTGGGGAGGGGTGCTGGGAGAAGTTCTGATTCGCACACCCCACATACACACATATATATATATATATATATGCATGTATATATTGACAGGGGCTTATATAGGTGCCCTTCTTGGTTTAGAAATACATGGGTTCCACTGGTTTAGATTGGCTTTAGGCTCCATTTATCAGGGCCACTTTTTTGTCCAGAAGGTCACCTACCACATACCGCTGCCAGACGGCCAGACTCGACTTAATCAACTGCTTGCCATTTCGGCTGTTTGGGGTTCTTTGCCCCATGAAATAGGGAGGACTTTTTTGGCAGGCCGGAGTCCGGCCCAAAGACCTGCTTGTGGGGGGGGGGTTGAAGTGCCAGTTGGGTATTACAGAAACACTTTCCACACGCCTCATGAAAACTATTCCCCCCCCCCCAAAACCTCACCCCCCCCCCCCCAAGTTTTTCCGGCCAGCCTCTCAACTCTCACTTAGCACACTCGCTTACTAAGCGCCAAGGGTTCGGCGCCCCCAAAAAGCTACCTGCGCGAACAAAGGGGCAGCGCCCTTCTGAAAATGATTTCTCTCGGTAAGATTGTTGCGGGCTCCTTGGGGGGGGACAGTTTTCATGACAGAGGTATCTATGCAAGGAGCCAGGGATACTCAAGATCCCTGTCACTATGAAACATGCTGCTAAAGAGCCCCACATCATTGGTTGGCCAAACCACCTCTTCCACCCCACCCCCTTCCCCAAAGTTAAGGCCTTTTTAAGACCGGGGAGGGGATTGGGCATGGGGCACGGGGTTGGAGCCGCAAGGTTTTCCAACTCATTCAGTCCTTCCCTTTATATTGGTTTTTCCTTCTGGGCGTGTCTTCAAATAGGGGACCCAAAGCATTGCAGTTTTCCCTTTGGCGTCCCTTGAAAGCAACCGTAAAACAGATACCCTCAAAGAATAACATACCCGCATCCCGCCCCTTGCACGACACAGCCCCAGACAGCCCCAGCTTCACCCCCCCGGACAGCACTTCGGGTTTGGGCCTGAGAACAACACCATGTTTGTTTGCAAAACGTGGTCCTTCGTTTTGGGTATATAAATTTCTAGGGGTTGATCTCCCCAGTCTTTTCAACCTTTGTTCTTTTCCAGTTTTTGTTTTTTTTTTTTTAAAGTAAGAAGGATCCCTAGGAAAGCAAAGGGGAAGGTACCCCTAGAAACATCCGCTTCCTTCCCCCCTATTTCCCCATGGTCAACTAGCAAAATTCTGGAACGCCGCCTCTGCGGGTCGGATCCATTGGAAACCCTCAGGTTGTTGCATCTTTACCCCGCCATGGGCGTGCTTCAAAATCGGAGACCCAACCAAAAAAAAACAGAAGCACAAGTGCTTGACAATCGGGACCCCACCCAAGAAAACGAAAAGAAAACAAGCTTGAACAACGGGCTAACACACACACACCAACAAAAGAAAGCTGATTCAACACAAAAGGTTGATCTCCCCCCCACCCCCCGCAAAAAATAGGAAAAAGACAAACAAACACAAAAGACAAACAGACACGAAAAGCAAAGCAACCACAAACAAGCAAATAACGTTGATTTGCCTTTCCCCCTTACACCCACCTCCCAAACGAGTACCTTCTTGAGAATTGCTGCAGGCCTCGGAGTGCGGCGCCTTGCCACCGGAGGAGGAGGCGACCTTCAGCTAGTGGAGCAGCCATGGAAACCCACCGGGTCCCTGAGGAAAAACAGAAAACAAGTCGTCAGCACCGGGAAAGACGAAGGTCCAACCCATGTTTGGAGGTGTGTGTGTGTGTGTTTTTTTTGGGGGGATGCTGGGAAAAGTTGGATGGTTCGTTCTCCCCACGTACCTTTGTTGCTATTTGGTATCGTTTCCTATGATCGTCTGGACCTCACTCAGAAGCCATGATTGACGGGAGGCCAGTTGATAAGGCTTTGTTTCCAGAAGGCCAAGATGTCCGGCTCGCCATGCCCAAAGGCTGATTTTGAGCCAATGGGGTTTCCCCAAGGTTTGAGGGATTCCGTGGCTCATTTGCCCATGGCCGGCTTGTTGCCTTTTAGTTTGCCCTTGGTCCCTTTGAGCTTCCCCCCCCTGAAAAGGTGAGCCTTTTTCTGGGTCTCTTGGGGGACCCGACGCGCTTTTTTCTTGAAATACGGCCCGGTCATGGTCACGGCGCAGACCCGGAGGTTCCTTGCAAGCGGCGGAGGCTAGAGCAGCTCGGACTGATGCTTTGTTTGTTTCGAAAGGGCCCTCTATAAACGAGGGCTTATTCGGTTTCATGTTTATTTGTGGGGTAAGATGTTGCGAAGCACAGAAAACAGGCTAAACCGATTTGGAGGTTTGTCCACCAAGAAGGGCAGTAACCAACAAGGGGGAGCCACAAAGGATTAATCCTCCATGAACACCCCCCACATGTTATGTTTACCAAAACCGGGGCGGGAGACTGAAACACATTTGTTTCTTTTTCTTAACAATAAAACAAATATTAAAAAGCATCCCAAAAGATACATTGCACCGAAACAGGGGGATCCGTTTCCATCACACCACGAACACCTTCGGGGGCGGCACGGCCCATGGCGTCCGATTTCGGTGACTTCCGCTGAGGTCACCGTCGGGGCCCGCGCTGGGCGTGGGCTCACGGGCCCACGTTTGCCTGGAAGGGCTGAAGGTCTGCACTGGGGCCTCAGAGGAGCGATGAGGGCGGGTCAAAAGATGATAATGTCGACCCCGGATGAATACACCCGTCCCATTATTAGGGGGGTTAGGGGGGTCCCTCCAAAAGTGATGTGCTATTAATTCTACCAGGGGCTTATCAATCCAGGGTTAACATTACCCAGAATGGAAACCTTGGTAATGAACACCCTCTATGAATACACCCCTGTTTATTTTGGGGGTGTCCCTGGTTTTAGTGGGGATTGTTCACTTTGGAGGGGATGCCCGGCATCATAGGAGTCCTTGTTAGGTGAGCCTGGTTAAACATAGATGGGTTTCACTGGTTTAGATGGGTTTTGTTTCATTTACCAGGGCCATCTATTTTTCCAAAAGGCCACCTATGCCCAGCATGGAGCCTTGGTAATGTTGACCCAAGATTAATAATCCCCATTTTATTAAATAAAAGGGGGGGGTGTTCCCCTTCAACAGTGATGAATCCCCACTAAAACCAGGGACGCCCCATATTAATAAACCCGGGGTCAACATTTAGACGGAATCAAAGACTACAACCTGCGGTGCTGTGGTGGTTTTGATTTTGGCCCATACCCAAATTTGCTCGAATAGATGGTGGATTTGAGGGGTCTCAAGTAGTCAGCTTAGGCAGCGAAGAACTTCAATTGTCTTTTGTTTTGTGGTATCCCTGTAAATGGAGTCACCATTTTGTTTGTCGTGTCACTGAGCTGGGTGAAGACAAATTCCGGAGAGGCTTGGGGGACGTCCCTGAAGTTGATGCCCTGCCTTTTTTTCTTAAACATGAGGTCCATCGACCTCACTGCGGTTTGCTGGGCCGGACTAATCAGTTCTATCTCCAGCAATCAACCAGGGGCGGCCCAGTTGGGTGGAATTTCGGAAGTTTGGACCTTTGGTGTTCTGCAGATCTTGGAGTCAGACGAAATTCGGGATACCTCAAAACCCGAAGAACCCATTTACATCGGACCCGAAAGCCATCCCTTGGAGGACGTAACGGAGGCGATCAATTGGCACATTCTGCTGGTGCGGGTGAAGCAGATGCGGGGACCTTACAGCTTGGGGGGCCTGGGGCTTTTCAACTGCAAGCCGGAAGCTGAAAACCGGGAAAACAGATCTGAAGGTTTGCGGAAAAGAGATATGTTTGACCATTGAGCTCCAAATGTAGCTACGTAAGTCTCGAGGGCTGAGGCAGCTTCCGTATCCTTGAAGTTCAAAGGTGCCATGCGACAAAAGCAACCAAAAAAGTTGTTGTATCAGGTCAAAATGGGATTGGAGGAAGGCGTATCACCAAAGGAATGGAGGTTGTGCCTAAAGAGTAAAACAACACCACACCGAACACACCAGACATATGTTGTTGGAAGAGGAGCCTTAGTTTTCCAAGGGCCAGGGTCTTGGAAGATCAAGGCAAACTGGAGGCTGAACAAACGTCACATAAATCAAACAACAGGAAGGAACCGCAGACAACGAACTCACACACCATCTTACCTGACGCTTAAAAAATGGGACACATAATGGGTAATGACCCCATTTTTTAAGGGTAATGGAGACTCCAGGTAGCACAAACGTCCGACAGTCCCATCCACAAATGACTGTTTGGGCCATAGGTACGCGGACCTCACTGGGCAGGGCCACTCTTTCGAGAGCGCGGTGCGACGAGCCATCGGCGCGGCATTGGAGGCGGCATGCGTTGGGAATGATCTGCCTCACTTTCCCTTCTGACCTTTCCCACAGGTCCAGGTACCTTCTAAGATCTTCTAAGGAGGTACTCAGACCCCGTTTTACCCCCCAGAAGCCATCCTCAGGAGGTACTTGGACCTTCTAACTTTGGTTTCCCAAGTTGGACATGTCCCCGAAAGGTTCAGCTTTTCTTTTTGGGCCCTTTGGGCAACTGAGCTTTCTGGTTGTAAGATGTGTTTTCCTCCCGTTGCGATTTGAGATGTTATGCAAAAAAAGCAGCTTTTATTTTTTTGTGCTGGCCCTTTCGATCTGCCCATAGATTGAATCCGGCGGTCCCCAACTGACAACCAACGACACAAACCGGCTCGCTCAGGGATTCCGCCTGGCGACGGATGTTTGAATCCCCTTCTTGTCGCCCAGGGAAACGGGGGGGACGCTGTTTTTCCAACCAGTTAAATCTGATTGTTGGACCCAAAAACCCAAGGATCGAGGTCGAAAAACCAGCTCTTGGTGGTTGGGGAAAACTTGGGCCTACAGGAATTCGGGGAGGACAACTTCCGCGATCAACATCGCACTTGCTGGTGCGATAGGGAACGACCGTTCCTTGTGTTGGGAATGAACAGGTTTTTGATGGGATACCCTTAAATCAAGGACATGACAAGGGATTGTCTATAGATGCGATTCCCTTTCTCATTCCCAGCCTATCGCGCCAGCAAGCCAACCGTTAAAGCCAATGGCTGGAGAATTGGTTGGCTTTTCTTGAGCTCTGCTTCGCCAGAAATGGGTATGGCTCAAAATTAGCCACCAGGAATCGGACCGCAGGTTTAGTCTTCGGTTCCACGCAAGCCATTTTGGAATTCCGGTTTTTTTGACCCACATCCAACCACCTCCACCTTTGGGTTTTTGATGGTCCAACACTCAGGTTTAACTGGCTGGAAAAATCCGTGCCCCCTTTCCCTGGGCGACAGGGAGGGGATTCGGACATCCAGCTGCCCGGATCTGGGGGATCCACTACGATTCATCAAAGGAGGTTCGGTCCGGTCGCTTCGTACCTCCGACCTCCGAGGCGGAAGCCTCGGATCCGCGGCTGCGATTTCTCACCGAGTGCCAAGTGGAGGAGGAGGTGCTGTGCCCCGCTACGACAAGTCCAAGTGGGGCCAAGAGGGGCTGAGGGGTCGGCTGAGGTCGGAGGCAGCTTGAAAATTTGGTTGATTTTAGTGTTCTGTTTTGTCTTGCTTCATCTATTTGCTTGTCATTTCATTTGCTTGTTGTTTGCATGTTGGTCTTGATGTGATCAACTTATGTTTCTTTCTGTTTGAAGATTTGATTTTGGTGCATGTTGCTTTGGAGATGCTGGGCCCCTGAAAACCCAAGCCTAAGCCATGGGCTTTGCGTTGGGCCAGGCGAAGTTGACGCACAGCCCTGGATTTGGTCCGCTTGGTGGCAACCCGAGGCCTTAAGGCAGGATGTTCATGTCTTTTATGGCTATTTGGACCTTCCTACTTGTTGGTTGGACCTTCCAACTTGTTCGTTGAAACAGCTGGGGATATTCCGAATGGACCCAAAGTGAAACACTTGAGCCACAGAGTCTCGGGTCTAGAGTCTCGCAGGCCAGCAACCAGGTTCCAGGTCTAAATAGCGTGCTCCCCCCGCTGGATTCACATGTCTGTGATTCGGGCCGAGTCGGGTTCGACTCAAGGTTCACCCCGGTGACGTGGGACCTGGATACAGCGCTCACGCAGCACCAGCAACTTTGCTCAGCACCTCATGGGTTGACATGGGTGCAAATGGGTTGATATGGGCTGATATAGTTTGAGATGGGTTGATATGGGTTCATTGGTCTGGGTTGATGTGGGTTCCTCGGGTTTGTCTCGGGCGACCCTTGAACCAAGATTTGTTTGTGCCCTTAAGTAAAAGATACGCTGCTAGAAGTGAAGCTGCAGTACTCCAGACCTTGAAGCCTGGCCCAGTTGGTTCAACCGGCCCTCCCAAGAACAAAGCGGATATCTCGCGGAAGCGTGGGTTCCAGGATGTTCCAGGTGGGTGGGAAGGGTGCGCCATAGGGGGCTCGGATGCTTGGTGGCTCCCAGCCATCCGGTTCCTGAGCGTTTAAGCCTTTCAGCGTTTAGTGGTAGTTTTCATTTAACCCACTAAAAGTTAGTCACTTTTAGCGGGGCATCCGAAAACAGGCAGCCCAGAGGGGAAAGATCACCTTCCGCTTTTCGGGCTGAAGAGAAACCGCCCCCTACCTGAAGAGAAATCGGGGGAGTCCATAGCGCTCCGTTGAGGAGGGGGAGTTCCTGTCCCAGGAATCTGATGAATCTTGGGATCAACCAAAGAAGATGCACCCATCCATGTTTCAGACCAAAATGTGCTGGGAGAGTAAAGGGAAGTCAAACGGCTCATCCTGCAACTTGGAGAGAGAGAGCCCAAATCTGCAGTGAGCTCACCGCGATTTATCCGTGACCATTTCAGTGGGAGCAAAAGGTACCCTTTTGTTGGCCAATGCACTCGACCAGAAGTGAGTTTGGATCTATATACCCATTGGGCATATGTGGGAAAGTGACGCGACTGTTCAACCATCATCCTTCTTTTCAACAACCATATCCATTTTCAGCCTGGGTCTGAATCGGTTTTCTGGAAGTTCCCGTACCAAATTGGAGGCAAGCTCAACAATGTGGTATTTTTTCGCATGATTTTAGTCACCAGCCCGAGGTTGTTTTAAAAGTTGGCTTGGCAAAGGGAGTGGAGCGACTGGAATCCATTAAACATCCAACCAGAAGTGACCCACTAGGACAATTCTGGTTGCATTCCATTTGCGCAGGTTGGTGACATCCGGGGTCATTTGGTTGTTTTTTTTGTCTGGTTTCAGTTCCATGGGTCGTTTCACCGAAAGCCGGTAATTCAGAGGTAGTTTGGGAAAGTTGTCAAGATGTACCACAACCCAGTTGTTCAGTGGCACCCTCTTTTCCCTTTTTGATTTGTAGACTCCCGACGCAAACTTGTCTTAGACCTGCCCCAGACAGAGGTCGGTTCCTCACGTCCTGACTTCCCGGACTTTGGTTTTAGTTTCCTGGTACCTTTCGGGGTTTGGGGTTGAAACCAGGGACTGAACCCAGAAAACATCCCTTGAAGAACACTTACCTCTTTAAAAAAAAAGAAGAAAAACAACTTTTCAACTTTTTGGGGTAACATGGGCTATACGTCTGTAAAAGATTAACTTCCCCAGGGCTTGGAGTTTTAAGGGGTAAGGAAACCACCAGTTGGAGAAGGGTTTTTGTCTAGGGGTCATTCCATTTCTCATTGCCGGCGCCGATTCCGCGCCAGCAAGCTCGTGCCTTTCGCAGGGGCTCCTTGTATTTTCCCTTGTGGTTTTAGACATCGTCTTTTGCGCCAATTTTAAAAGGACCTTCCTTTTGGTGGGGTGATGTTAAAAGGGAAACGAAGTGGATGGACGAAATCCATTTCGCACCACCTAAGAAAGCCTGGAATGATGATTTCCCTGTAAATTCCAGCAAACAGTGATTTCAACCATGGTTTCATTTCGGGTGCGAAATGGATTTCACAACCATCCACAGTAAGGAGACCTGGTTCGGGTTGAGAAGAATTGGTTGCCATCTGTTCAGAAGCCAGCCATTCCACAGGTTTCGTGGATTTCCAACTAACCATTCCCTCAAGCTCGGCCCAGAAAGAATTCTAGGTCCCCCACCCTTTTACCAACTTTTTTCGTTGGGAGGGTTCCCCTACTAAAATAGACTACAGGAAAAGAGATTCAACCCCCCCCCCCCCCCCCAAAAAAAAAAAAAAAAAAAAAACGGTACCAACTTATTCTAAGCTCTCAAATCTGGAGGACCTAGTGACTCGGTCGCCAGCGAAGGCAGCTGGCGGCTCTACAGCGGCAGAAGGCCTCGCGCTTCGAGCTGCTGGCGGCCATCCGGCGCATGGCGCAAGCCTCGCAGGCGGATGGATGGGAGGAGTTTGGCCCGTGGGAGAGGGGAGGGGAGGAGCTTGGTCTGGGGGGGAGGGTTTTTTTCAGTTTCCCGTGTCTTGGTTTTGGCAAGAGGGGATTTCAGGGCGAAAGAATGAAACACAAAATGTTACTGGTAGCTTTTCTCCTATGATCATGACAACTGGTTTCCAAGTACTAGGTCCCACAACCCTATTAGGATGGTGTATTGCTTGTTGTGTTGTTGTGTTGTGGAGCCGATTTTGGAGGTTCTGTCGACCCTTCTCAGTATTTCAATGCAAATTTGTTTGCCAGTTCTTTTGGTTCTTGTTTTTTCGGTCCCTTGTTGCCAGGTCCCTTTTTGTTGGGTGATTTGTTTGTGCCAGTTTCGTGTATTTGCGTGTAGTCTTTTTTTGCTGTGTTGGGAAGGGGTTGGCTAGACCATGACAGACTCAATCAATACCATATTTTACTATGGGGGTTGGTTTAAGCTGGGGCTTCCTCAAAGAATATGTCATGCTGGCTGAATATATCTAAATAGGTTTAAGCTGGGGCTTCCTCCAAACATTGCGGGCCAAATATATCTAAATATGAAAGAGTCTGAACAACATGATGTTTGGAACACCCAGAGGTCGAAGTTGCGTGGGGTCAGCCACAAAACGAGAAGGGCCAGGTCCAATTTTACGGTCCTCGCCCCAAAAGGCGAACGGTCCTCGTTTGCATAGGCAACTGAACAAGGGCTTGGTGTTACGTTCGAAATTTGTTGCTGGTTTGGTATTGCCTTCCTTGCCATTAATATGTTTTGCTTGCCCACGAGAAGATGGACGACTTAGAGGGATACATTGTTGAGGATCGACTGAAACATGGCTGGAACTTACTTTCTCGTGGAAAGTTGGGGTTTATGTAGCGTTCCAAGATGTACATTTCTCATTGCAGCCAGAACCTGGCAGTGACTCTTGGCCTGGAGCAGCTGGATGTAAGCACGCATAAACACGCGCAAACCAAGGTAGTAACCATGGTAGCAACCCAGAGTTGTGTATCATTTCTCTAAACATGACTTAGTTGTCCCTCATCCTTTTTCGGGTACATGACTCAGTTGTCCCTCATGTTTTTTTGTTCCCCACCCCTCCCTCCCCCTTTTATTTTTGTTAAGGGGGGCCTTGGGTGCCCTCCTTGTCCCGATGGCCTGAGAGGCGGCAGTAGAAGAGCAGCGCGCGCTGAGTGAGCAGCTGGACAGGGCTTACGGGCCGACCGACTCTTCCCATGGCGAGCTTGGGGTTGCACGAGCTTACTCTGGTTTGTTTGGGGCTTCCCATATGGGTATGGGTCAAAATTCAACCACCAGGGGACCACAGGTTTTAGTCATTGTTTCCATTTACCAGGGTGTCATTTTGGGTACCTATTTTTGACCCACAGCCATAAACTTTTCGGTTTTGGGTTTGTTGGAAGGATTGCAGGCAGCATCCAACTTAGTAGTTTCTCACCCCTGTCAAAAGGCAACTTGCCTTCACGGAACCCCACCCCCACCCCCTCCCCCACACCCCCGCCACCACCCCAAAGCCCTCGTTGAGGAGCAGCACATCTTCCTTTTCCGAAAGATGCTGCGCTGGCGCTCGGGGTGCCGACCAAAAGGGGTGAACGCCAGCTTTTGCCAGGTGGTTTCCTCAGCCCGGAGTCTCGAGCTTGATTTGTGATGTCGCCTCTGGCTTCTCTCCCTTGGAAAGCAGCATGCATGCTTCTTTTATGGATGAAAAGGGGTGGTCAACTTTGAAGACGAACCTGGCGAAATGAAAAGCATGTATGCTTCCACGGATATCTTTTGCACAAAAGACAAACAAACAAGAAACCAACAAGCACCTCACGGCGGGGTAGTCGAATCTTGAGATGACCGTTACGCTGAAACAGGTTGATGCTGAAGACATGCCTTCGATTGTTGCCCTTCAAGCTTTGAGACGGCCTTTTCGATTGAGGCACTGGACAAGACATGGAGGGAGACCCTCTTCCATTAAGGTGGGGTGGTTAATTGGATAAATGGGCGGCTTCCAGTATGGGGAAGTCAACTCTTGAGACGACCTTGAAACAAGTATGTTCAGACCTCCAGTGGTGCTTCAAGGTTCTGTACTAAACGGGGTGGCTCCTCTTTTTCCCACCGGTTTGATCCCCTTCATGGCGAGTCATCTTTCCTCAATCCGCGTTGGAGGAATGTGTGGGGTTCAAAAAGGGGGCCCTTTGCTGTATGGCTATTTGGTTGGATCTTTGGACCTGAAACTTTTGGGGGTCGGATTATAAAGGTCCAAGTGGTTCTCATTGGGAATCCGAGTGATGGTCGAGTATCTACGTCACGGGCGAACCACTGGGAACCATGTTGCTCTTTCATGAATTCCCTTCTGAAGCCATTGGTTGAATTGTCTCGCAGATGTCCTACCAAGCTTTTGGATCTTCAAGGGCCCTTGGCCGGCAACAGGCAAACTATGGACGAGGGGCCTTTCCACATGCACTTTTCAGGGCTCGTTTTGGTCAAGATTCCATGTTTGATGTCCAAAAGTAGGCTTAAACCGAGGGGTGGTTGATTTTGCCGCAGGGAAATCCTGGGTTAAAGTCTAGCGTGGGAAACTCGTGACAGGTCCACCCTTCATTTGGCTGCTCTACAGTTTAACGGAAGGAACCCAAATTGTAGCCGCATAAACCCCAGATAGCAAGAATGTGAGCCAACGAAGTCACGAAAAGCCAATGAATCTTAAGTGAACTCTCAGCAAGCTTGGGTTGCTCAAGCACAAACATTCCGAACACCTTTGGCATTCAAATCTCCTTTTTGGCATCTGTTGAGCCTTCCTTTTGGGTTCCTTCCATTTGTCTCGGAGTGGTGTTTTCTGATTTTTCACGATCCGAGCCAGGTGCCGCTGCCCAGCTTCTGGGGCGAAGGCGGGTCTAGCCTCACGTGGCAGTTTGCTTGGAACCCAGCAGTAAACTGGAGCTTCTGATCGGAAATGCTGACTGAGCCCTCTTTGAGGTGGACTTTTAAGAGTTGGAGCCACCTCCAAAAAAGGTTGGTGGCCATGAAGCGGGAGGCAAATTTTGATGTCCAACCAAAGGGTCCCCATATGTTAAAAGATGGTTTCTCGTTGAAAGAAGAGGAGCCAAATAGGGATGTGAATGTTGAGGCAGTGGCATTTTGAACATTCTCAAGCAATCACGAGTTGCTGTTTCTGTTGATTGTTGGGAGCGGAGGTGTTGCAAATTTTAGCACAGCGAGAAAAGAACGCGCAGACTGGTAAAGGCATTGAAGGGGGTAGTGTTTTTCTTTGCCGTTTTGTAGGCAATAGCGGCGTGCTGGTTTGATGTCCGGTCTTTAGTTACACAAAACAACTGTTTCCGCGTTTCAACTGTCAGCTGTTTCCCAAGACATACTTTTCAATTTCCACCTTTTGCCAGCAGAGATTTCTCTAGTTTCAGGTTTTGTCTTGGTAGAAATTGTCCCACTGCGTTTTTCCTGGCCAGGGTTTCCGCCATAGAGATATGATATGTGTACTGTTCAGCGCATCTGTTGCTCGTTGTGCTATTTGTTGGTGTTTCCCGCCCACCCCCCCCTCCCCCCATTAGAGGCTTGTTGTTTGCGTGTGTGTGTGTGTGTGTGTGTGTGTGTGTGTGTGTGTGTGTTCCAGGCATTCTGTGCAGGCAAAGTGATGTTCGAATGCATGTGTTTCCGGCAGCGGTGTGATTTTGGTGTGCTCAGTTTCCCAGGCATCTTGCACATGTTCGGTTTCTCCCCTGGATGTTTCCCCATTGCATTGTTTGCTTGTGGTTTTCCCCATTCCGGAGCCGCAGAGCTTTCTCAATCGACCTGATTCCAGCCGTTTCCAAACAAGTTCGGCAGTTGTTGTCCTTGTTTGCTTTCTCTTTCCGAGTTGTTCATGGCATCATGTCTTTTTCCTCGTGTTTGGCATCCCACTCAAATCTGTCAACCAACAAAAGGGCTTACACTTCCCTACCCGAATACCCGAAAGGGGACTCTTCCTTAGGCTTCTTCCTCTTCCCCCCCCCTCTTCCCCCCCACAAAGCGATCCCCGCCACGATTTCCGTGGCGTTGGGTCAAGGCAAAGCGCAGCGCCCGGCCTTCCGCGCCTTCGCCTACGCGGAGCTTTGGCATCAGAAGGCCTTTGGCCTGGAACCTTTGTGCCGCGGCCCGCGGCGCCAGCGCGAGGACGAGGCGAGGCGAACGAGTCGCGAGTCGCGAAGCCAACATCGAACGGGGAAGGCGGGGTTATGTTCGGAACCCCGAAATTGTGGTTTCAACAACGGGATTCCCTTGTTTGGAACCCCAAAACGGGTGATTCCCTGAGAACCAAGTTTTGAAGGTTGAGTTTTTTTTTTTTGTTTTGTTTTTGTTTCAGAAGGGGCTTAACGGGAAAACCCCTTTGCTACCTCCTTGGTTGCACTTTTCACTTTTGACGTGTTGCTTTCCCCCTTGGCACCGGTGAAAATCAAGTACCGAAGGTGGCCCGCTTTCTTCCTGGACATGAGGAGGTTTGGTTTGGGATGCCCGAAAGACGTCTCTCGCAAGGCTGGGGCCTGATAAGTGTGAAGGGCCAGTGAAATCCTCACTAAGAGTTTGATTTATATAGAGGATCCCGTTGTTTGCAGGTTTTTGGATGTTGGATGTATCCTGGAGGTAGTGTTTCTTATTTTGCTAGGTCTGGTTTTTTATTAGGTCTGGTGATGGGTTGGTTGGTTGGTTGGTTGGTTGGTTGGTTGGTTGGTTGGCTGGTTGGTTGGTTGGCCGCATCCCCGGCATCACCAGCAACACTTGGACCTAGGGTTGCCTATTGGCTCTGATTGGGTGGCTGGTTTAAGTTAGGGGGGTTTTGGCTGGCCTAGATCTTCATGAGGGTCTTGGGGTGGTTTGGGGTTGACTTAGGCGAAGCGAAGGGCTGACATCCAGGCTGCTGTTGGGCGGGAATAGGGTTGACTTTGCTTGGAGCTGATTTGTGTTAGGTGTGCAGCTGGTTTAGCAGCGGCTTTAGAGTTGCTTTAGGGTGTGGCTAAGAGAGTTTTGGTTGAGTTTAGGGTTGGTTTTGGTTGAGTTTTGGTTGAGCTTTAGTTCCTGGATGTCAGCCCTTCGCTTCGCCTAAATCAACCCCAAACCACCAAGACCCACCCTCATGAAGATAGAAGCCAGTCAAAACCCCCCAACTTAAACCAGCCCCCAGCAACTCCCAACTGCCACCCAATCAGAACCAAGAGGCAGCCCCAGGTCCAAGTGATGCTGGTGATGCCGGGGATGTTGGTGGGTTGGATTGTTTGGCTGGCCTTGACACGGCCTAGCCCCTATCCCTTGCGGCATCTTCTGGGGAAGGTTTCTGGGTGTTCAGGCAGTGCTTTTCATGGGGTCCTGTAGCCTGAGATGCATCTCGGAGAAGACTTAAGCCATTCGGACAGCCATACCCGTGGATTTGGTGCTTTATCCAAAGTTGAACATCCCCAGCTTTTGCGTTGGACATCCGGCTTTGTGTTGGTTCAAGGGAGCCCAGGAGCTGGGGGTATCCGACTGCCAAACAGACACAAAAGAGGGAGTCGAAAGCTTGGCGGTTCCCAAATCGTGCCCTGATGTCTTTTTTTTTCCCGGTGTATTGTATTGTGTTTTTTTTGTTTTTTGGTTTTCTTTGTTTTAGTTGTATTGCGTAGTGGTTGGGTTTCCATTTGGCCCACAAGTTAGATTTCGGCAGGGGATCAGAAAACGGACAGCCCAGCAAATCATCTACCAGGCGTTCTTCATGAAGTTCTCTCAAAACGGTGGACCCCAATGTGGAAGGTTTTAGAGGGACACCAACAAATGGGTCCCCTTTGAGAGACATCCCCATGAGAAGGTGACGCCTTTCGGCTCACTATGCATTGATTTGGCTTCCTTTCCGCCGAGGCCTTGCGGGATTTGGAGTCGCTGCAGGCGGGGGAACTCGCCTCGCCGAAGGTCCCATTAGCCGGACGTGTTCTGGTCTCCACGGGACGGCTTGAGCAGTTCCGGTTCCCGGGAAAATTGAACCGCCCCAACTTTGGTCCGGTTAGGGCCTTGTCCGAGTATCATTGTGGTACTCCATACCACCTCCTAGAAGGACCCTGTAGAAGGATAGTAGTCGTCCACCCCGAAACGTCTGATGCAAGTGTTTCCAAGCATGCCGCATTTGATCGGTCCCGTTATGTCCCGTTTGCCAAGAACCAAATGTTTACCTTGCGTTTGGAGATGTGCTCCATCCAATGCATGCTGCTTGTTTGGATCAACCAGCTCGCGCTGGACAGACCTACTAACAAGTTTGTGAACTAGCTGCGTAGGTGCCAAATAGAACATAAGGTACGCACCCCTCCTGACATGGCACCAGGGGGTCCTTGAGGAAACTCATCTTCAAGGTGCCCTCCACAGGTGCAATGTTTGTGGGAAGTGTTGTCTCAAACCAACTCCTTTTTCCTTGAGCCATCCACCCAAGCCTTCGGCAAATCCGCTCGTTTCTCAAAATGTTCCCCGCCTATGCACACAGAAGGCTTGGGCAGATGTGTCTTTTGTCACCCCCTTACGTTGTAGTCCGGCTTTTCGCGAATGTTTAGATTTGCTTCATTCTTTTCTCCTCGCCCTTGCTGTCTTTGGAGTGCTTGGTATGGTCCTTTGCCTTAGGCAAGCTGATTCCAGTTCCAACCTGAAAGATTCTTTTGGAGAATTCAACCCCTTTCCTTATTTTTTCCGTAGGAGAAAGGGATTCTTTCACTTCCACCCCAGCCTTCCTAGGTCCCTCAGCTAGGTGCCCTTTTACCGTTTCTTTTTTTTTGGGAGGGTTCCCCTACCAAAATAGACAAAAAAGACAAAAACATGGGGTACCCACTCATTCTAATCTGGAGGACCCACTACACTTCTAGGCCGTGGCCTCTGAAGGCCAACCAGTTCCTTAAACCACGAAAAACCCTGGAGGAATCGTTTGGGGGGGGGGGGCGGCCGGACGGAGAAACAACGGAGTCCAAAAGGGACACCCCCATGTTGAATGAAACTAACATTTGTGGCTGCAGCTTCCTCATGTTGGTTTCCCTTCCCTTCTCTTTCGCCTTTTTAAAGAAAAACACCAGGCATCGCAGTCCAAGGGCGGGGACGCCGCCGCCAAGGCAGAGGCGAAGCGCCTCTTCGAGGAGCGGGAGGTTTGCGGATGCGGTTTCTGATTGTTGTTGGTTTGTCGTTGATTTTGTTGCGGTTTGTTGTGTTTGTTTTGCGATGCGTAATTCCTGCCTTCAAATGGGAACTTCGGAGGGGGAAGGCTGGACAAATGAAATTGGGGGGCCCCCCCACCCCCCCGTTAAGACCCGGGGATGCTGGGCAGTAGCAACTCATCTAGTTTAAATTGTAGAAGGCAAATGGAAAACGAGAGGGAAACTGAGGCCTGGACAAGAAATCAATCCAGCTTGTGTTTGCTTTTTGGTTTGAAGGCAGTCTGGGCTTTCAAGGTTGCACAGGGTTGCAAAGGTTGTTGAAGCTAACCAGACAATTGGGTGTTCAAATGGTGTTGTAAAAGGGAAAGGTTGGCTTGAACAACGAAGCCTGGGCAACAGCCGGCTGAATCTGATGGCGTTCTGGCCATGTGTGCCCCTCATTAAATTGATTAAATTCGAGAAGTGTAACACTTGATTGGAGTCCCTGGACCTAAAAGACATCTGCTTTCCTTGGTTCCTGTACTCGGTTGCTTTATGCCATGGTTGAAACAAATAGACCCATGGGTCTTCATCTTTTCGTGTGGTTTCAGGGGGTTTGGTTGCCCGGTTTAGAGGGTGGTTACCTAAGGCAGGGGTTTCAAGGGTGAACATGGAAGGGAATTGAAGACTGGTCCCCTTGGTCACCTATTTTCTGGCAGTTGGAATCATAGGGTAAGGATGGGGCAACCAAGCTTTGGTGTTTTCAACATTAAATGGCTGTGGGTCAAAAGTAGGTACCCAAAATGGAGCCCTGGCAAGTAGAACCAAGGACTAAAACCTGCGGTCCCCCGGTAATTTAATTTTGACCCATACCCAAATATTATTAAACAAGGGTGCTTTAAAGAAAACCCAAAAGGAGATTGAAACAACCCGGCCCATGTTGGGCCAAAGGCCACAAGCGGCATCCCAAGAGGGCACGAGAAGCCCGTACAGATCCGTACAGGGTTGGCGCAAGATGTGTCACAACTCAGGCAAACCGAAGGGAGGTTGTTTGAGTTGTCTCAAACAAGCGTTTATCCATGTTGCCAGAGGTTACTCGCTGGCTCGCAGTCCCCTTAGGTTTTTAGCATTTCTGGGCGTGGGGGTTTCCATTTCACCCAAAGTTCGTCACTCTTGGCAGATCTGAAATCTGAACCCTTTGGAGGAGCAGCTCCGGCGCTGAGCCAGCCGACGCCTTTCGCCTTTCAAGCAGATCTCGTCATGCGATGTTCGGCGCAGATGGAGGTGGGGGGGGTCCAGCTTTTCGGCCGCGTGGCAAGCTGTCTTTTCGGGATTTGTGCACTTCCATGTTTGGGAGGGTAATCTGTGAGTTTCTCTTTGCGTGATTGTGAAAGCCTCTCTGGATTTGTCTTGGGACCACCCAAGGTTAGGTCAACCCAAACAAGGCGCCTTTAGAAAAGACACTTCCGTCTACCAGGGCTCCCGAGATTCGCTTTGCCGGTATTTTCTTGAACATCACTCCCTTTTTGTTTTGGGCCAAGATTAAAAGGCGCGCTTGAAGTGGGTGGAGTTGGGAGTGGAAAGCGGAAAGCGGAAAGCGGAGTTGGAATGAAGTTGGGCTTGTTCAGGGTGGACGTGTCGGGGCCCTGAGTGAATCCTGCGAGGCGGTTCACACCTTGCCTCGAGCTCTCGACGGTCAGCTTGCGCAGAGGAGCCAGTCTTCTTGCAGCGCGCGGAGAAAAGGTGGATGTGTGTGTGTGTGTGTGTTTTTTCTTCTGGGGGGGGGGTGCTTTTTTGGGGGGAAGGTTCGCCAATTTGGGGTATTACTTGAGGAAACCAAGGGCCAATCCTTAGTCTGCAGAAAACCCCAGGTCGCAATTTGTTTGCCCTTCTCAGGGGTGAAGAAGCAGAACAAGAAGAAGCAAGCAAAAGGAGCCCGAGGCCCATTTGGGGGGGTTCAAGGCCAGACCAGGACATGTGTTTTTGATTCCCTCCTTGAAGCCAGAATTTCATGTGCTTCAGCCTACACTGGGCCTCCCACGTTTTTTGTTTGATCAAAGGGCGTTGACGTGGGCCTGCGAGCGAGGGCCATTGCGGCGGGATCAGGTCCTTTGAAGAAGGCAGAATGATGGATGCAAATTGGTGCAGAATAGGTGTGGCTTGTATTGAGGATACTACGCCTTTTTGGGGGGGGTTCTTTAAAGAGGCACGAAGGGAAACCTCCTGCACTTTGGCGCGGATGTCTTGGAGAACGCGTACGGCGCAAACATCACCCCCGAGTTTATCTCATTGAGCATGAGAGGGGGGGGGAGGGGGTCAACGTGGAATTGTTCTATGCAGCGTACACACGTGTTCTTTGCTTGCAGGATATCGCATGTCCGGGGAGATGGTGTGGTTGTCTCCAGCTGGGGAAGCAAACGCAATACCCGGGAAGGGTTCCATGTCCCACCGGGCCGATCCTCAGAGAGAATTTAGACCATTGCAATGGTTCCGAATTTCAATTGTCCAAAGCCGACATTTAACCTTTGGTTTCCCCCTTTTGGTCCATTTGTAGCAATGGTCCCAAAAGGTTAACCTTTTCTTTCCGGGTCATTTGGGCAACTGAGTTTTCAAGCAAAAACATACAGGCGGGCTTGGCACATGGTCCACAGCGGCCTTCGGGATTTTGCCTGTGAGACTCCGTCTGTAAGAGACCTTCAGGTGGCGGTCTTCAATCCGGTCCACCACCGCAGATCTTGCAAAGGGGGGAGGTTATGGTTGTCCTTATCATATCTTGCCATTCCTGTTTAATCATCCTCCTCGCGAAGTTGCAGGTATTTACCAATGTTTGTCTAGTGCTTGGAACGTCCCCTTTGCTCATTTGCAAGTTGGTGTGACGTAAAATTGCTATTGGGCAGGAAGGCTAGGCTTAGTTGCCGACCCGGGCAATTCACTACCCCAAATTGGAAATAGCCTGCTTTCAGGAATGGCAACTACATTTTAATTGGAGAAACGGTAACCCCTGGTCGCCCTTTGAAGGGAAGCCAAAAGCAGGTTGCTCAAACAATACCAGTTCAGACCGAGGTTTCTTCACCAGGGCCCCGCTCATCGCCTTTTCCCCTGCTCGCAAAATTCAGGAGACCAATTCCTGCTGTCGTTTTTCCGAAGAAAAAAAAGGGAGGAACCAACAAACAAAAAAGGCAAGGAAACAAACCTTCACCGTGCCTTCGGATCGGTCAACGTGGATCAATGCGCGCCTGGCAGCTTTAGGTTTCTTAGGTTCGCGCGGGCAAGACGCCGCGGGGCTGGGAATACGTGGGGGTCGTGGCCATGGTCGGGAGACCTGGCCGGCCGGGCAGCGCCACGAAGCCTTGGAGAAACCGAACTGGGGGATATCCCCGGAGCCATTTGCTGATAAATGCATATGTTTGCATATTTCCCCTTGCCGGTTTTCAAGGGAATCCATGACTACTGCAAAAAAAAGATGTTTTCCAGGGGGCGAACGCGCAAATGGAAGAATTCCGAAGCGCCAGGTTGATCCGACCGGGAACAGGAAGAACTCCCAGGGTTCCGCTACCTGACTGAGGAAGTTTGGTTGTCACGACTCTGACCCCAGGCGCTTGCGATTTTGCACAGTGGCATTTTAGAGCAGGTGCCAACAATTGGCGCTTCGGGTTGCCCATTTCGACACTGAACCATACGGCGAACGAAACGGGAGGTGCAAGGGCTTCCGAGCAACATGGTGTACAGTTCTTGCGACTGACCAGGACGGCAAGCGCGTTTAAACAAAAAGATCAGCTGGGGTCCCTTGAGTGAACTACGAAACGCCAAACATGGGCATTTCATTCACGGCCAATTGAGATCTCAGCTTTTTATTTGGGCGCTAAGTAGTCCAACTGCAAGCCAGTTGGGCGGGATTTGTGGTTGATTTGTTTACCCCGTCCCCCCGCAATGGACATGGAGCCCCAAAACGTTAGAGAGACATCTTGCAGGAGAGTAGTTGGATTGGCCACAAGCCAATGCCAGTATTCAGAGCACTTGAATTGGTTGCTACCCTGAAATCATCTACTGAACGAATGAAGCACATAGAACAGCTACCTATGATCTCCTATGATTGTGGCCGCTTCATGGTTCAAACGTCGCCTCTTTTGCTTGGTGACTTTTGTTTGGCAATGTGATGTTTGGAAGGGACATTTGGGGATCCCTGCAACTCGAAGTGCGTTTAGTGTAACAGCTTCATTGCCAGAAGCCTCAAGCCGCACCCAAACCCCCCCCCCCCCCACCCGCGCTGCCAAGGAGAACCCGCAGATGATGTGCCAAGGTGCTTGGCCCTTAGGGCTGCAAGCCAACATGGCACCCCTAAAGTTGCCCCGCAGATTCTTTTGCAAGGGCAGGTTTTTGGGGGTTCTATGTTAATTCTTCAGGTTTTTCTTGCCATGGTCACCACATCGGATGTTGCCAAGAGCAAAGTGCAGTATTGTTTTTTCCTGGGGCCGATGGTTCCCATGTTTCGGAGAAGAGCCCGACCCACCCGGCCCATACCTTTTCGCTTGACTTTGGCGAGCTTTCAGGGGCAAGCACTTCTTCTCTCGTTCTTTCAGGGGCCAAACAAAACATCCTCGCGGATGTCGAGTCAGGTCGGGGGCATTGTGATCTACATCGGCGCCCGCCTTTGTCATCAAGCCTTCGTGAACTCCATCGAGGCATCCCATGATCCACTGGGCGAACATCGAGCCGGGTTCATGGGCTCTTTTGTTGGATTTAACAATTGCGCGTTGCCAACTTGTATGACCCCTAAAGATTGTTTCGTCGTTGTTGGATGTTGGATGTAGGGGAGATCTCCACTTTAGAGTGGATCCTTGACTGTTTGGACAGGCCCTAACAAAGGTTTCATGGTCGGAAGTGCAGAGAGGCTCGTCACCCCGATGTTGAGGCAGCCAATGCAAGGGCCGCTAGGACAACTGCCGCCAGGGACCCCACAAGGAGCTTTGACCATGGCAGAAATGAAAGTGGCGGGAGTGGGATTTGCTCTTCGAAGGCCATTACTCAGGTACCTCCTAGTTGGTGGTTTGGATTGGTGGTTTGGGGATTTGAACCCCTGGTTCTTGTTTGAGGGTAAATTGGGAAACCCCTCCTTGACCACCAAACCACCAATCAGAGGAGAGCTGAATGACCTTTGCGTCTTGTTTCTCCAGTGCAAAACTCGGATTGGCGTGGCAGATATTTTTGTTGATCTGGTGTTGCTGCAGCCATGCGCGCTGAACGTCTCTTGAAGGGCTACGATCCAGGCCATAGGTTTGCGGTTTGTATCGGTTTCAGCGAGGTGTGGTATTCCTCGCCAGCCAACCGGCATTTGTACTTCAAGGCCTTCAAGGACGGGCAGCGGTGGGGGGAGGAAGGGCGTGCCGACTTTTCGGGGCAACACGTAACCCGGAAGGCAGGTTTTTGTTCATCCCCCCAAAAGCGGTTTTTCTGCAACCAAGTGTTGGAATTTGGGAACTGGAAGTCAAGAGGTTTACGGGCAACCTCGGCACCTCGCCACTATAGGCAGGGGCCCTCGTTTTCTACCGAGGTCTCGCGAAGGAACGGCTGCGGAGGCTATTTGGAGCCACTGGCTTCGGCTTGCGCGACGAAACGTGTGCAGAGCCCCTGCGCTAGGAGCAGTACCTGGCCACAGGCAAGGCAGACTTTTCCGCGGCTGCCTCAGTGTATCAAGGAGGAGCCGGGCTTGTCACCCCTCCAATTGGGTGATTAGTTGATTTCCCTCGAAAAACAAGGTTTGCTGAAAATAAGACGGCCAATCGCTCAGACTGTAAATCGGGCATTCTCAAGCTAGACCGCAGTGACATGTCAGTAGCATTGATCATCGAGTCGAAGACTCTTGCTGGGTTTCCACATCGGCATGAGCAATAAACACATCTTAGCGTTGACCATCTCAAGGCACGTAAATTGCTTTTGACGTGTGTGTGCGCAGCTACAAGGAGCCTATAGGCGGTGAAAGCTATATTGCTTTAATTACTCCCTGTACATCTTTGTGAGCTGGGTGCTAGAATGGGGAAACAGTTTCAGGTTTGTCATTGCCAACCATGATGCACAGACAAGGCGTGCCCAAATGAGCTGACCGTACCCGAGTTGAATGGATCATTGCATGACCTTTGGTGCATGTTGCTTGGATGTTAGGACTTTGACTTGTTGCCAACTAATGGGTAAAAGTTCAACTTTTAGCAGGGGAGCAGAAAGTAACCGAGTGATGTTGTGCTTGGCATTGCCAATGCCTCATCCGAGGCGTTCCTGTCGACGCACCCTGAGACAATCTCGCAAACCTTTGGCGATGAGGCAGGCGATGTGCCATGAAGACACCTGATACAAGCCTGATGCAGGCTCGAAATGTGTCAGAACAAATGTCAACCCAGGATGAATCCAGAGGGGCAGAGACAAACAGAAACAATCCGGGTAGGAATAGAATGGGGTAGTTACCCTAGAATTCCACTTTCCCTCAAGCCCCTTCCCCCACCCACCCCCTCCATCTGGGAAAAGGTATAACTAGAATTCGGGTTGCCTTTGAAACGTCAAGGGCGTCGAAGAACTTGGGGTTTTGCAATCATCACACAGCTCGGGGCCACAGGGGTTATTTGCAACCACCTGGCTATGCGCGTGACCCGAAAGCCGCAGGGTTTCCTTTTGGGTTCTTAACCAAGGTGGAACAGGTACCGATCATAACCCGAACTAGGGTATGTTTGTTTCAGGCAGGTGTAAAAGGAAGCCAATGGAAACCCCAAACATTGGGGTTCCAACCCCCCTTTTTTGACACATATCCTTGCTCAGTCGTGTCAATTTGATTTGTATCAAGTTCCCAGTGCCAACTCCAGGTGCAGAGCTTGGATTCGCTTGGTCCAGGGTTCCCCAAAGGTTTCCGCTCAAAGGATGGCAATTTGACTGGAAGTGTACCAGATAAGATTCTTATATCTGGTACGCATAAGGCAGGTAATGTGAATGAGCGCATGAAAGCTGTAATCGAGAAAGGGAAAGGAAATAGCGTGATAGCTTTTGATAAAAGAGAAACATATCTCAGATATAGAATTGTTGTGGAAAGGTTAAGAGATCAGTTTTTGAGTATCCATGTGTTTTCACTGAGTCTCCTTTTGGGGAGATGCTTAATTCCACTTGCTTAAACATATGTTGTATCATTTTCACCTGTTGGTTGTAAGGGAACCTATCACCACTGGAAATATGTTTTCTTCTCCAAGGGATTCAAGGAAATGGGTGTTTTGTTTGTGAAGGTCCCCTTTAGGCTTTGGGGTGGTCTTGAAGGGAAGCCAAAAGGAAAATTCCGAAGCCCATTTGGGGGGCCCCAAACCTTGAAAAAGACAGACCCCCCGGGGACCACAGGTCAAACGTCCCGTTTACCAGGGCAAGCCATTTTGGGGTTACCCTCGTTTTGACCGCGACACCCATATTAGTTGTTATTTTTGTTCAAAAGGACTTAGACAAATGGATAGGCAAAGTGCCTTTTTGCGGTGGTCTTCAAGTTGGAAGCCAAAAGGAGCACTCCGAAGCCCTTTTTGGTGGGCGGTCCGGAGTCCCTTTTTCGACAGACCCGGATGGACCCGGACGGCCTCGTGCTTCGAGGCCACGTCTGAAGGGCAGATGGTGAAGGCGATGGTGTGGCCCAGCGCTGTGCTCATGGCCATCGGCACCTTGGCGCGATGTCTGTTTTTTCTTGTTTTGGGCTTGAGGCTTGTTGGGCTCGTGTTTTTTGAGGGGCCGTTCAAACCTACTCCTTATTGGGCTCGTTGTTTGGGTGGCCTTTGGGCAAACCTGGCCTTGTAGGGATCCCACAGCGAAGCGAGGCTTTTTGGCTCGGGTGCTGTGAGTTCCCGAGTCCAACAAACCTGCTCCTTTTTGGGCTCCTTTTTTGGTGGCCCTTTGGGTTCCCAGGGATGCCAACTGTTTTTTGCGGGGCCCTGCCTTTCGTTTGGGATGGTTTCTATGAGATCAATCCAACGTGCCGGGCTGAAGTTCTGTTTCAGTTCCAGGACCTCAGGGCCACCCAGTCAAGTGGAATGTTACTTGACTGCTATTGGGTTGGATCATGTTGGATCTTTTGACTTTAACTTTTTGGGAAATCAAGGGGTTTTCCACTAAACCAACAAAAAGTTAAGCTTTTTGCGGAGGGGTCAACAGCAACAAAGCTGTGAATTGGTCGGAGAGTAGGTCCCAAATCGTGGGGACATGCGCAGAACTCCCAGTCCGAGGCGGCATCATGATGAGGGCCGGCGGAAACTCCATGCCACGCGCCCAGCTTTTTTTTCGCGCGTGGAGGCTTGGTCTGGACTTTGTCTTTTAAGGGAACAAAAACTTGCTGGTTCCATAGGCAGGGAATGCGAAATGGAATGACACTTGGAAAACCCATCCCCGATTTGATTTCCTGTGAGGGAATCTCCTTCCGGTCCATTCCCGAAACCATGGGTCATTCCCTACTGAGCACAAGCAAGCAAAAGGCGAAGCCCTGGCTCTCGCTCGAAAACAGGTGGCCTTAACAAGACCAACCCGAGAATGTGATACACCGAAACAAGCTCATACACTACATCTCAAAGCGTTTGTTTTTTTTTTAGAAAGGAGCCCTTAGTAGGCGTTTGCCTCTCTTCTTTTTTTTTTTGGGGGGGGGGAGCCCTTGACAACCACAGGAATATATATATATATACGTGTATGTGTGTGTGCGCATGTAGGTGCACACCCTTTGGGCACCCAGCAAAAATTAATGGCCCATCCAGAACTGATACATGACCTGCAAAGCCAGTACCGGACAACCCAAAACATAATACCTGGATACTGTTGTCCAGTAGGATTGCGCTCATATTCATATTCCAACGTGTGCATCTATATCTATACTGAATGCTAGCAACCGCCCTTCAGGCGCCTTCATGCGCATGAGCATGTGCATTGCCCACGCTTGTTTTTAAAGGCCCTGCTTGTCTTGTCACGAGAGTAGAGTTTTGCACCCTGAGTAAGGTAGCCAATGTCAATGGTCTACCCTTGTGCTTTGGCCATTGGGCCCGCAGGCGGTGGACTTTGCGAGTTGTTTTGGGGGGGAGTGACGGGAGGAAGGAGCAGTAATACTGACAGAATTCCAGCCTGTGTGTGGAAGTTTCCAGGGATTGTTTCAAGGAAACCAAAATCATTTCTTAGCGTGCGCATTTTCAAAGAAGGTCCTTGAAGAGACGTTTCTTAGTCTGGAGGCTTTGTCGGCACACACGCACGCACACACCTACATTGCGCCCATTCGCTGGGGCGGCCGATAGCCCGGGTGCGGTTACCCCTCCGAAACAGGAAGTTGTGACCCAACCAAGCAAAGCGCTCACAACATCAATGTTCAGTTCCAATGAAAGAAGTGTCTGCATTCTTAGCCTCATCCGCGGTGAAGCGGTGAAGCCCAGGTGGGGCTGGCTCTTCCACGCTTTCCGCGGTTTGATGACGCCCTTTGGCCTGCTCATGGTGCTGCAGACGTGGCCCCCTCAGAAAGTGAAGCGAACGAGAAGGGGCGAAGGGGGTGAATGTAAGTTGCAAGGCGGCTCGCTCAACGGGCAATGGGCGGACTAGGGGTAAGACTGAAAGGTGTCTTGACTGGTCTAGGTTTCATAGGTTCCATGTGCAAACAACTTGTTTGACAATGTTGATGCAGAGCATGAACTCCAATATCGAGCTACCCCAGACTGTGCAGGTGGAGATGCATTTTGCAGTGAAAAAGATGGGCTCGATTCCCGCCCTTTCCGGGGTGGACTGTGTTTCCACATGCTATGCTTTGCCATTTGTTTAGACTTGCTATTTGGACTTTCCTGCCAACACATCTTGCTCGGAGGGATACGCACGAAGAGGACCCGTCTAGATCGGGCTGGTGAAAAAGGCAATAGTTCTTCATCGTCTCCGACACTCCGGCTCGCCTTCGGTCGATCCTCTCTTAAGTCGGGTGGGTTCCAGTGATTCAGGATATAGTTCGAGAGTCCAGGCATGCAGTTGGGCAAACGTAGATCAATTCGCCCGCAGGCTTCGTAAGTTTCCTGACCGATGACCGACAAGGGAAGGGGGTTGTGCCGTAACCCTGGTGCAATTTGCGGTGTGTTCCACTGGCACTTTAAGATCCCGCCTGTTTGATCTTTCGGATGGGTGTTGGGAGTTTGTGATGCCCCTCCCAAAGCAATCAAAGCGCACTTTTAACAAAGGCCGAAAACGAAAGAAAGGAGGTTTAGCACGCTTCGATTAGCTGGACCAGACAGCTGGGGCACGGCATGATACCACGTTGCCTCAAGGCCGGTGGTCAGTGGAGCAGGTGCTGGCAACAAGGACGCCATGCAGATGGCTTGGTCTCGGACGCTGTGGGTTGGATTCCTTTGTAGGGAAAGTGCTACAAGAGTGGGCAAGTCATTTCGAGCCGTGGGGTTAAAACATATCGGGACCCCCTCCCCCCAGAAAGGTTGGGAGAGCCTTTGTTTTCCTAGGCTATGATTTACTTGTCTTATCCGTTCTCAACCGTCAACTTTTTGTCACCCGCTTTCTTCATTTGAGTTTGGGCACAAAAGTGCCCCACTGGTCGGGTTGTCAACTCGGTCATTTGTTTCTGCGGCGACCTCGAAAACCGCCGTGCGCCTCAAGTTGCCTGAGTCGTAAGGAAGCGATTTTCCACTCGAGCCATGGCCCGTTGGCTCTGCGTTGCGCTCCAACTCGCTGTCGTCACCGGCGACATCCTGCTGGCCGACTTTGATGGGGAGGCGAGCCACCAGTGGAAGCAGATGAACGACCCCGTGCCGTGGCATGCAGATGAACAAAAAAGCCAAAGGCTCCACTTCGGTGACTTCTGGGCCCTCAAAATGAGGTGTTTTCAAGGGCCCCTGAGGGCTCCGGGTTTATTGGAGGGCCTGGCCTGCATTGGAGGGGTCATGAGCCTTAGGGCAAGTGCAGTAAATACAAACCGAGAATGCGCAGTTTTTGGGAGTTATCCAGATAGGGGCCAAGAATATGCGCTTTTCTGGAGGAGGGGGTGCCTCCTGGAGATCCCCATTTGTAGCTTCATTTCCGTCCTGCGGAACACATATTGCCGGTTGCTGACTGCGGGTGTAACGAGCTTACCATGGCAAAGGTCCTGTGCTTGAAAATGTGAGAAATCAGCTTTTGGATTTATAGCAAAGTTTGCAGATGGATATCATGGCCTACAAGAAACGAAGGCTTTGAACCAAAAGCCTCACCTAGGGTGTTGGGTCTCAGGATTTAGCACTGGGGAACGGGGCAACCGGGGGTCCATTAACCCCTCATGAATTGTTGAAGGTGTGTTCGGTGAAAGGAACCAACAGATTCATGTTTATATTTTTTACAGGGGGGTCCCAGCAATTGTGAGAGACATGCATCAGCCGTCCGAGCCACGTGGGGAACCACCGCCTTTTCAAGTGTGGGTGTACAAAGGATGCAAGGCAAGTGACAAGTCTATGGTAACCATGCCACGGTGTACATCCCCTCTTCCAGATACACGCCGCAAGGCGTGTATTTTCACAAGCCTTCTTTCTCCTTTTCGAGTCCGCCGGGCTTGCTGGAATTGTCAGCTGTGGAGTGAAGTGCTGAGGTGATGGGGGGGAGGTCCACTGGAAGCTTCTCAGTGGTCGGCGGCCTTGGAGTTTTCGAGGGTGAAGTGGTGGACGTGCCGTTCCTCCATGCGCCTGGCTTCATTAAGGCCTCAGTCGCGGATATGCTGCCTGGCCAGGTTCAGTGACCTGTTGGGGCAACTTTTCCTTGATCCAGGTCGGGTTGGCATAACAACCAATGCATAACCTTTCCAGCGATTTGTTGTCACCTCAACATGCTGAGCGTTATTGATTTGTTCTTGCCCTCATGCTACGTATTGTGTCATTATGTTGTAGGCGTTAGTTTATATGTTTAGCTTAGTAGTTTCATTTGTGGTGCAGAAAGATATTGTTTATTGAAAAGTATGTATAGTTGTCATGATTTCCTGCTCATCATCTTGTTCTTGCATTATCCTTGTATTGGCGAAATCCTAGATGTTGTCGTATCCGGTTGGAGCGTTGTGTTGTGCTTTAGATATGTCGTAACTTCTTTCGGTTGTGGAAGGTATCTAACTTGTTCGGGGGATCCAGTTTGTTGTGAGGCAAGGGCATTTAGATGAGGAATCCATTCGGACGCATCTTTCCGGACATCTCTTCCTGCAAGAACATCGAGCTCACCGTGAAGTCGGACACCGCTTACAAGGGCTACCGCTTCTCCATCGGCGATGCGCATGCACCCGGCGGCAAGTTTCACGCCTACGGCCTTTGGGCTGCACAGGTTTTGAGCAACCAAGCATCGTTTGGTGCATCCCCTCCCTCCCTCCCTCCCTCCCTCCCTCCCTCCCTCCCTCCCTCCCTCCCTCCCTCCCTCCTCCCTCCCTCCCTTGCCCTCCCTCTCCCTCTCCCTCTCCCTCTCCCTCTCCCTCTCCCTCTCCCTCTCCCTCTCCCTCTCCCTCTCTCTCCCAATTTTGGCCGGCCATGGGGACTTGCTGGTTCCTTCGCCCTTCCACAAGGAGCACCTTTGCTTCCTTATGGGCTAGACATTTGATTTGATCCCTTGAGTCAGATTTTGGATGTATTTGCGGACTTCATGGGAAACAGGGTTTTGGGGCCAACCCTCTATTCTGTGATAGTCATAAGCATAAGGAATGGCCCAAAATGGGCATCACAGACAGGCTGAGATTGCCACAACCATGGAAAGGAGCATGCTGGCTCATGTTCTATTGTGGCTACAGACATTGCCAAAAGGCAAGAGTCAAGAGCGGGTTCGAACGCCATTTTTTTTTCGGCGGAACTCCCTCATCCATGGCTTGGACGCACGTGCTCCAAAGGCTACAAGGCTGACTTTGATGCGGGCAAGGTCGGGGAGTTCAACACCGTCACCCTGCCGCTGAAGAGCTTCACAGACTACTGGGACGATGCGACGGGAGCTGCGATCAAGACCTGCCAGGAGAAATCGCCCCGTAATTCAGCCATCCCCTTAGCTTTTTTAGCCTTTTGGTGTTTAGTGGTAGTTTCCATTTGGCCCACTAAAAGTTAAACTTTTAGCGGGGGATCTGAGGGCAGCCCAGATTAATGTATTTTCACTTCATGGCACAAGTCTCTTCATGTGGTTGGGCGCAAGGGGTGACTAAGCTTTGAATCAGCATTGCGGTGAACTGTGCCATCTACTTTGGCCCAACTGAAGGGGTTTAGATCGATCGTGTTGTGCATTTCCGTGGTTTGCCTTGTTGTTGGGTACCAGGAGAACAAGATCTACTGCCCCGATGCGAAGACCCTGCAGGCGTGTGGGGTTTGCCGGAAGGGAGCAGGGCTGAGGGCACGAACGGACTCAGCCTGGCATCCCCACCCCTTGATGCAGAAGCAGGTCCACCCTTTAAGGGTTTCCGTGTTCATCAATCCGTGTTGTTTAACAGGGCTCCTTAAAAGATACATTTTGCCCATTTGAAACATGGCTTTTTGCACCAAAATAAAGGGAAACCACCATTTACAAGGCAATGCTCAGGTGTATAATGTAAGGACCCCTGTTTAATGTATCGCCAACGGGCAGCTTAGAGTTTGCGTTTCCATTTGCATTTCAACGGGGAGAGGATTCTCGAGCCTAGGATATGCGGACCATGGGCGTGTGGGCAGAAGGAGTGGCAGGCAGGGTTGGGGGCTGTGGTCGAAATTGGTGTTTTTTTTCCCACGCATTCTTGTCATCCCTTCCAAACAATTCCCAGTTGCCCAGTGGTGCCTTTTTCCCGTTTTTTTTTGGGAAGAGTCCCCTTTAAAGTCAACCAGCCAAACAAGGATGCCTTCCTTTTCCCATAGCCACTGGGCATCTCGGGATTTACGCGCTGGATAAAGAACAAAACCTCTGACTAGAAAGGCGCTCGAGTGTGACTTCCAGTTGTGAAAGTGGCATTTTGTTGATGTCCTCCTTTTAGTTGGCGGGCTCCCCGCACTCGTAGAACCAAGTTCCCCTTTCTACCAGGGTCACCGGTTGCAACTTGTTTCATAGCTGCAGGGCTCGCACCGCTGCTTTTTTTCTCTGCGCAGGGTCACCTTGAAATAATGGCTGTCTTGTGTTTGTCCTGCTTTCGTTTTTGCCGCGAAGACTATACAGATGTATATGTCTGTAACATGTAGGCAGAACTGGGGAACCTCAACACCAGCAATCGCCCGTTTCACCTGAAGCTGGGGGTTTTGGCGCATTTTCTCCGATCCCGGCCTTGAGTCGAGAGGCAAAGTGCGCCTGGAGATCAAATCCGTGAGGGCCACCGGCTGCGCCGACGTGGAGTATGTGATTATGTGATGGCGCTGAGGGCGTGGTGCGAGGGGCCAACATTTGAGTTCATCAGAACCCCAATTTCCCTCAGAAGGCTGTTGGACTCACTCTTGCCGAGTTCTCTTTGCGGACTTGATTCTTTATGACCAGTTGAGTGGTAAATGAAACGGTTTAGACTTTTTTCTGGCCAACCCACTCAGGAAGTGGGTGAAACATAGTTGAAGTGAGTGAGCCAAGACCGGACAAGCTGGCGTGTCTGGGTGCCCTGCACCTGTTGGACCCAGTTTCTGGCTCGCTTCCCTCGCCATGAGGGCATGTGACACCGTCCGGTGCCGGTGCCCCGCATTTTTCGGGCCCCCGACACGGCGAGCGCTGTTTGTGCGAGCGCAGTGGCCCTGGAAACCCAGAGGCCCCTTTGAAAAGAGACGCGCGGAAGGATGCGGCGTTCGTCAGTTCTCTTGGCTGATGCCTGGTGCTAGGTATGCAGTAAGCTTTGGGTGCTTGTGTCATGCCAACCCCGCCCCGAACCCTAAGGTCTTGATAGTCTCTTGGAGGACTTATTGGGAGGAAAACACGGACGGGGTAGGGGAGGGGGAGGTTTTGTTTTGTTTTGTCCGGCCTTTTGGAGTGCTGGCTTTTGCGAAGCCGAAGGTGAATGATGGTTGGCCCCAAGAGAGGTCTGAGTATTGACACCGGCCCCAGCCTCTGACTTGAACCCCTACAGACTGCCAAACCCAATTCACAGAGTTGTGTCACGTCTCTTTACATCTTCAGTTGAAGGAGGCGTTGTTTTTTGTTGGCTCAGCCTTGTCCAAACTGTGTCCCGAGGTTGGGTTCAAAAACATATATTCCAGGTCCTCCAGTAGAGAGGTTAGAATAAGGGTGCCCTTTTTTCCGTAGTCTATTTTAGTGGGGACCCTCCCCAAAAAAGGGTAAAAGGGTACCTAGCTGAGGGACCTAGTATCCTTGGATGCCGAATTCCTCGCAGTGGTCAGCTTCCGCCGGGTGAGTTCTTAGCGCCTTTTTCTGCGGCCATGGCCCGTGCCCTCTTGCTCGCCCTGGCCCTTCGGCCGTGCGCCGGGGATGTCTTGTTGGCCTCCTTCGATGGGGAGGCGAGCCACCATTGGCGGCAGATGAACGACCCGGCACCTCGATCGTGGAGTTTGTCCAAAAGTTTTGGAGTTGGTATGGTTTCTTGCGTTTACAACAACAACAAAAGGGCAGCCATCCAGACACTTTGAAGTTCGCCTTGGGGATTCAGCATTTGTTTCCCTTGTGCTGGTTAAGCGTCACCACTTGAAGGGGCCAACTCACAGGTAGTTTGCCTGTCTTGGATGCGAACGCCTTGTGCGAACTGTAACGATTGAGAATGGAGGGCAATTTTTTAGGATGTTTTTTCGTTTTTTTTAGGAATTATTTTTGTTTTTCAGGGTGGGTGGCTTTTCAGCTTTTTGGTTTTTGTGGCTTTTACGTGGGTTTTTGTGGCTTTTGTGGCTTTTCATTTCGCATCCTCTGCATTCACAGTTCCTCTCTTTCGCATCCTCTGCATTGCCAGTTCCGCTGGCTTTTTGGCTTTGTGGCTTTTGGCGGCTTTCTGGCTTTGGCTTTTCGCATCCTCTGCTTTCCCAGTTTTTGGCCTTGGCTTCCTGCATCCTCAGCATCGCAAGTTCCTCTCTGGTGCCCCCCGCCACCCCCCTTTCGATTAAAATGCACGCCTAATTGAATCATCACTTTTTCGATCATCATGCGACAGCTGCTTTTTAGATTCTTTGGCTGCCGTTTTACAGGGATTAGTTTGCCCGTGATTGAATCCTCACTTGTACCATGAGGCCTTGCCGCAAAGGAACTCATAACCCCCCCGCTGCTTTTTTATATTTTTTTGGCCCTAATTCAATCATCACTTTTTCAATCATCGTGGGGGGGGCTGCCGCTATTTTTTGGACTTTTTGCCCCTGATTGAATCATCACTTTTTCGATATTTGAACCCTCACTTGTACCATGAGGCCTTGGCGCAGAGGCACTGATGCCTCCCCCCGCTGCTTTTTTTGTATTTTTTGGCCCATTAAATCATCACTTTTTTCAATCATCATCCCCCCCGACTTTTTGCCCCTGATTGAATCATCACTTTTTCGATCATCATGGGGGGGCTGCCGCCCACCCCCCAACCCCCCCGCGCCTTTAATTGAATCATCACTTTTTCAATCATCATGGGGGGAATTGCCGCCCCCCCACCCCTGCTACGTTTTAGGTGTTTTACAGGGATTAGTTTGCCCGTGATTGAATCCTCACTTGTACCATGAGGCCTTGCCGCAGAGGAACTGATGACCCCCCCGCTGCTTTTTTATATTTTTTTGGCCCTAATTGAATCATCACTTTTTCAATCATCGTGGGGGGGGCTGCCGCTATTTTTTGGACTTTTTGCCCCTATTTGAATCATCACTTTTTCGATCATCATGCGACCGCTACTTTTTAGATTCTTTGCATCATGGGGGGGGCTGCCGCCCCCCCCCAACCCCCCCACTATTTTTTAGACTTTTTGCCCCTGATTGAATCATCACTTTTTCGATCATCATGGGGGGGGCTGCCGCCCGCCCCAACCCCCGCGCGCCTTTAATTGAATCATCGCTTTTTCAATCATCATGGGGGGGGCTGCCGCCCCCCCCAACCCCCCCACTATTTTTGGACTTTTTGCCCCTAATTGAATCATCACTTTTTCGATCATCATACGACCGTTACTTTTTAGATTCTTTGCCCCTAATTGTTCGATCATCTTGGGGGGGGCTGCCGCCCCCCCAACCCCCCTGCGCCTTTAATGGAATCCTCACTTTTACCATGAGATGCGGGAAGCCAATTTACTGGTGATGCTGGCGATGTTGGCTGGACATGCGGTCCCAAATTAAATCTTGACCCATTGAGAATAGCTAGCTGAAATGCCTCTCATGAGTGAGCCAAAGTCAAGCTGCATTGCTCTGGTCGTTGCGCATACTGCCACTGCACAGTCCCATGCTTCATTCCTGATGAATCGAAGTGCGATATTGAGCGCTATGCCTGAGGTGATGGGGGGCAAGTCCACTGGAAGCTTCGCAGAGTCTGGCGGCGTGGGCGTGTTTGAGGGCGAAGTGGTGGACGTGCCGGCCCTCAAAGCCCCTGGCTTCATCAAGGCAGCAGTGGTGGATATGCAGCCCGGCCACGGTTCAGCAAGTTGTGAGCCACTGCGAACCCAACGGGGTGGAGGGAAGTCTCAGCCATAAGTTGAGATATGGGGACCCCCAACAATACTGTTCCATGTTTCTCTTTGAAACATTGAAAGCGCGTCTCACAAACACAGCGCACCCGCACCCGCACACGCACACGCACACGCACACGCACGCCCACGCCCACGCGCACGCGCACGCGCACGCACACGCACACCCATACGCACACGCAGACGCACACGCTCGCACGCACACGCCCAGGCACCCATGCACCCACGGACGCACGCACGCACGCACCCACGCACACACACACACACACACACTCTCACTCACTCACTCACCCCCACACCCACCCACCCACCCACCCACCCACCCACCCACGCACTCACTCACTCACTCACTCACTCACTCACTCACTCACTCACTCACTCACTCACTCACTCACTCACTCACTCACTCACTCACTCACTCACTCACTCTCACTCTCACTCTCACTCTCACTCTGACTCTGACTCTCACTCTCACACTCACACTCACACTCACACTCACACTCACACTCACACTCACACTCACACTCACACACCCTCACACTCACACACTCTCACACTCACACTCACACTCACACACGCACACTCTCACACCCACACCCACACCCACACCCACACACACAGACACGCAAGCCACACACAGACACACGCGCACGCACACACACACACACAGACACACACCCACACACACACACACACACACACACACACACACACACACACACACACTTTTTTGACCCCCTGGTTACCACCCAGCGTAGCACTCGTGCAGATTAGTGATCTGAATCCAGGTGCCGTCTTTTCATTCTCCTTTGCGCAGGCTTCTTCATCAACACGTTTTGATCAATTTTCTCACTTCCACAGCTTGCTCAGGAAAGTGCACAGCTGAAGTTTGCCCACCCAAAGCATGCTGTGGAACTGCGTTGCTGCACGGGCTCGCTCTTCCTCTGTTTTTGTTTGTGTATATAAGGGGGCGCCAACGGGAAACCACCCATGTATTTGAGGTGCTCCAAGTGAGTGCCTTCGGTTAGGTATGCCCCAAAAATGCCGAAACCTTTGAGAGGTCCATACTCGGATCAGGAAGCCATTCGGACGCATCTTCCCAGACATCTCCTCTTGCAAGAGCATCACCCTCACGGTCAAACCGGACACGGACTACAAGGGCTACCGCTTCTCCATTGGCAATGCGCATGCGCCTGGTGGCAAGTTCTTTGCCTACGGCTTTTTGCTTGCACTGATATTTAGATTCGAGCAATGCCTGTTGTGAGGTGACAGTGCTTTCACCGCATCTCCTGATTGACGAAGGATTCCCAGATCTTTCACTGCATGTCCTGATTGCTAATGAATTCCCAGTGGGCATGTTGACTGACATGGGCCAAACCTGCCCAAGGGCGAAAGTCATTGGATGCCTCAGCACCCGGAGACGCCCGCGAGTCACCTGGCGCATTTGGATGCGCGCGTTCCGAGGCTACAAGGCGGACTTTGACGCGGGCAAGGTGGGAGAGTTCAACACCGTGACGCTGCCGCTCACGAGCTTCACCGAGCTTGGGCTCATAGCTGGTCCTTATTGTTTGATAGCCAAACCCAGTGGCCCAGCGGCGCCGTTTTTTTTGGGGGGCTTTTCTTTGAACAGGGCTCCCCTTGAAAGTCAACCAACCAAAAATGCTTCGGCCGGGATTTGGGCTCCACTCATTCCTTGTTTTTGGGAGGGTTCCTTTTTGAAAGTCAGCCAACCAAGAAGGGATGTCCCTTTTTTCCCCATCGCCACTGGGCATCTGAAGTCGCCCCAATCGTGCAACACCCAGGACTACTGGGACGATGCGACGGGCAAGGCCATCAAGACCTGCCAGGAGGATAAGATCTACTGCCCAGATGCGAAGACTCTGCAGGAGAGTCGACTCAGAGGTGTCCCCACTTACGTTCGCCAGTGCGCATGGTTCCGTTGCCCCGGCCAGGCCACAAAAAGCACGAAATCTGATCAACATGACGGGAAATCTCGAAAATCTCGAACATTTTCCACGGGTTTACGTCGGGCAACATGGACCTCCCATGTTTCCCTCCGCCCCTTTCTTCTCTCCCCGCTTCCCCCGGCCTCTTTCTCTCTCTCCCCGCCGCGTGTTTTTTTTCTCCTCTTTTTCTCCCCAGGACATGCGGACCATGGGCGTCTGGGCGGAAGGCGTGGCGGGGAAGGTGCGCCTGGAGATCAAGTCCGTGATGGCCACGGACTGCGCGCAGCTGGTGCACGTCTGAGCCTGGCGCGAGCAGACGTGGAGACGTGGGGTGTCGGTGTGTGTGTGTGTGTGTGTGTGTGCTTTTTTTTTGGGGGGGGTTTGGACCTCCCCCGAAAAAAAGCGTTGGGGTACATTTGGACCCCCAAAGTTTGGTGCGTTGATTTGAGGCTTTTGGACCCCGAAACTAGTTGGTTTCCTTTTGGTTTCCCTTGAAAACCCCAGCCAAGACAGGGTAATTCCCTCAAGAGAAAGACACACCCACGTAGAGAGGGGAAAGGGAGCCGGCCGAATGTTTTTGCAATGCAGTGTTGAAGCGGATTTTTGTTTTTCGCCAGTTGGCCTTTCTGAATCTTCGGCTTTTCTATCCCACGCCGGCTTCCTTTTCTCACATTTTTCGGCCCGACTCCCCGGCCCGGAGCCCACTGAGTTCAGTACAGGGCGGAGGGTGGAAACCCAGAGGCCTCCAGAAAGAGCTGGCGCATGGTTCGGTGGTCAACTTTCGAGGATCAGAATCCGACAACGCCCCCTCCTGTGATCATGGAATTCTAATTTGGTGGTTTGGGTTGGTGGTTTGGGGATTTGAACGGCCGGTTCTTGTAGAGGGTAAATGAGAAGGTACCCCCTAAACCACCAAAACTAAAGCACACAATTTTCGGGAAGCCTATATATGAATTGATGCACACTCAAAGCAGTCTTCCCACCTTTGATTACTATGGTCCTCCTTTGTTGCTTGCGCTGTCTTGGCGGGTGGTCGGCGCCAATTTCGTCGGAATCGGTCGACAGGAGATCCGCGAGGGCAAGAAGGTCTCGAACATTGAGCTCATCTACCAGCGCTGGCCTCAACTCCCCGGGGTTTTGCGTCAATTCGGTGTGCTTAAGGGTTTGGTTCAAATAGATGGAACGTCAGTCCGGTTCATTTACCGGGATCAGTATGTTTTTGACAGACCCACTTCCATCGGGGTACTCACGCAAACCTGTTTTGAACCTCCAGTTCAGAAAGCGGGTTGGGGGTCGAAAACAGGACCGTGTCTTTTTTCAGCAGTTTCTGGACGTTACACCGGGAGGCTAAAGGACAAATGCTTAAGTCTACACCGTTCAGACGTGAGGTTGGTGCTTGGCAGATGGAACCTGAAGCGGTTCTTTGAAATGGAGATTCGTTGTGCACAAATTGCCAGTTTTTTTGTTGCTTTTTTGAAGGGGCCCCAAAGGATTCCTTCGTCTTCAGTCTGGTTCCAAGCGCTACCCGTTCAGATGATTCCCACCCTCAACTCTGACTCCTGTCTGGAGCGCCCTTATGCCGCTTAAATCCGACCTTTCAACAGTTTGGTTGCCCCTGTTTGGTCCCAAAACTCACTCCCTCAGCTCATGGACTATACAAACTTTTCCGGAAGACCAGTTTAGTGATAAACAAGAAGGTCGCACTTGTCTTTGCCAATCCACATGTAAAGGTCCCAGCAAGACCCCCCCCCCAGCCCCCACCCCTCCCCTTTTCTGAGAGGCTGAACTGGGTGATTTTGCACTTCATCGGCTTCGCGGCCTTTCTGGGCCCAGCGGCGCGGGAACTCAATGGGTCGAAAGAGAAGGCTCGCTACCCCGTGAACCGGGGTTGGTTTAAAGGGACAACCAGCGTTTTCGGGACTTTCTAAGACACAAAGCTGTACGTGCATATTATATATATATACATATATATATATATATATATATTGAACTAGGGTTATGTGAGGGCCATACTTGAGTAAAGCCCCTTATGAAGCATGTGCAGGTGGTTCCCTGTACTTGAAGGTTTTTATGCACCACTTTCCGTGAGTTACAGCGCAGCAGCGCATGACGCGTTGGGGTTGGCTGCACTGCCCATGCGGGCGAATGCCTACTCATCAGGCAAGCAGCTCATCATTTTTTTGTTTGTCGTGCCTTGGGCAACCCAGATCCTACTTGTAACCCGGAGGCATCCGGAGGCCCTGAATTGGTGGCTTTGGGTTTGGGATTCGAAGCCCTTGCTGAGGGTCATGTTGACCCCATATGAACTCACCCTAGTTTATTCATAGGGGGGGTGTCCCTGGGTTTAGTGGGAATCATCACTTTTGGGGGGCAAACCCCCCCCCATTTATAAACTGGGACTGATTAATGTGGCGTCAACGTTGGCACCAAGACGCCTCAGTTTTCCGGGCCGCTGCCCCTTGCTGAGGTGATTATCGAGCTCCCGGTTGCTGTGCACGAGATTCTCACTCACCAAGGCCGGACGGACGGGTTGAATTAGAAGCGGGATGGCTTCCAGGTTCCGAGCGGCAAACAAAAGGAGAGGTATAGGTTGCTGTGAAACTGGGTTCCGACTAAGGGTCGATGTCAAACTGTTTTTTTGTGGGTACTTGTCCTTAGAGTCTTGAGGGTTCAGGGGCTTTTGCAGGGTTCTCAGAGAAGCAAAGGCGCGAATGGGGGGGCAATGGGACAGGGGGAGGTGGGGGAGACTTGGGCATGACTTTCCAACAAGAATCTATTTTTATCTTAAATTTCGATAGAGCCTTAGGGGAGCAGGGAGGGATATGGCCCTTAATGGGCCCGAACAACAATCACTCGGCACATCTCGTCACGACGTTGAAATCTCCGTCCTTCCACGTTCCCCGATTCTTTGCCCACACTGGGTGGAACACATGTTGACTCTCCAGCTGGCAATTGGAGATGCCCCTTAACTCACTTCCTGAGTTTCTGGACCTTCAACCTTAGACCATTTTAGTGGCACACCAGAAGTTTGGCGAATTACATTTTTTTCGGCCCAACTCGATCGGAGGTGAGTCAATTCGATTTTAGTAGGCTGCAGTCCTCCCTCCGCGCCGCTCAGGCTCCGGCGACGGTCTCGCCTTGGAGGCAGTTTCGGAGTGGGAGCGGACTATTCTAAGGATGTCAGACAACTGGCTGCTCTCAGCGCGACCACGACTTATGACAAGATGGCCCACCAGCAGCAGAGTTTGGATCATTGTCATGGCACATATTTCTAGGGGTTGATTCCTTTTCCATTCTTTTCAACCATCGTTCATCCCAAAAACCGGATCCGTTTTCCCTGGGTTTCCGGAGGTTGACAAGAAAGATTCGGATTCCTGGAAAGAATGGGGAAGGTACCCCTAGAACTCTGCTGCGACACGGGAAATCAAACAAGGCACCAGTTGGGTGACTCTGGGCGGGTCCCATTTCAGAGGGGTCCATCAATTTTGGGTTTGCCCTGCTGCATTTTTTTTGGAGGTAAATCAGTCTTGGGTCAGCAGGAGCCTTAGAGGGACGCTTGAGTGAACCGCGCTGATGGATTGACAGGCAAGTCACAGCGAGTTTAGCTTTCCTCACTTCCTGAGTTCCTGGACTTTATACTTGTTGGAAGGACCATTTGAGTGGAAATCAAATCAAACAGTTTGCACTTTTTGTTCCATCCATCTCAGGAAGTGAGTTTCACTCACACGTGGGGCCCGTCATTATGTTCAAGCCCTTCCAAAACTGCTTTCCCACAATTCATAGGCCTGGGCTTCATATCAGAGTTTCCACCCGGTACACTGTGTGGCTTTGTTTCCAAACCCGTACTCCTCTGTCAACAGGAAGAGTGAAACATAGCTGGTTCTTCCTTGGCGTCCCTTTAAAGTAGCCGGCAACCAAAAAGTGAACCTTTTTAGAATGGGCTAGCAAAGAGTTCCAAAAAATGGATATCCATGTATGTATATATGTATACATATTTGCATTTATAAAACTACATTTGCACATATATGAGTGAGTCAATGGATAGCTGCTTGTGTATGTTCATATGGGCCGCTTGCATTGCTCGTCTCGCGAGGTGGTGCGCATGGGACTCGCCGGCATGCGGGTGATGTGTGCAGTGCTGCTGGTGGTGGCGGCCCCTTTCCTCGGCAAAGACAAGACCAAGCCGCTGGGCTGAGCTGGATATGCAGCGTGGGGGACACCGGGCCGAAAGGTGGATGGACCAGCTGCCAAAGGGTTTTTGGATCCGTTAGTCGCAATCAATTCCCTTTATTAGAATGGTCCACCCAGAACCATGTACAGGATTAAGGCGGCCGCAGCTATTTATGGTTGGGATCGTCCCTTACTAACCTTTATCTACCCGGGTTTGATTGTGGCTTATGTATCCTTCAATATGAACAGGCCCCCGGGAAACAGAGTCTTCGGTGGACGAGCAAGGTAATGCTTTTGCTAGTGCTCGGATCATATTCCAATCCAAATCTACAAGGGGAAGTTTCCTTTGATCCAACGGAAGGACGGCACAGTGCAACGAGAAAAACCTGCTCAACAAGTTTTCTGCGGATGTGCGAAATCCTCTTCGAAGCGGTTGCTTGGCAAGGAGGGTTATCGATAGGGCTTCATCCATCCCAACTGGTTCGAGGTGAGTGGATCGAATTCGGATGTTTTTTTGTGTGTGTGTTTTTGGTGGGGGTGTATGCCTGGCACTCCATATGCGCCATTCGTGCCATTTGCATTCCAACCTAACCTGGTTTCAGGGCAAATTCAGCTGTGAGCTGTGTATGTGTGAGCGTGTGGTTTGTGCGTGGGTGTGTGTGTGTGTGTCATGTGTGTGCGTGTGTGTCTCTGTGTGTCTCTGTGTGTCTCTGTGTGTTTGTGTGTGGCTCTGTGTTCTCTGTGTGTCTCTGTGTGTCTCTGCGAGTCTGTGTGTGTGTGTTTGTGTGTGTCTGTGTGTGTGTGCGCTTCTCTATCTGCTTCTGTATGTCTCTCTGTGTGTATGTGCGTGTCTCTCTCTCTCTCTCTCCCTCTGCTTTGGGGTGTGGTAATGTCCGCTGTTACAAGGGGCAGGCACTTATCTAGCGCCATGGTAGTACCCCTGCAACAAAAAATGAAATTCCATCGTGTCGTTGCGTGGTCGTGTGCCAAGGAACCCCAACACACTCGGAGCCCTGAAGTGGCGAGCAGAGTCAGGGGCCCAGCGCAGAACAGAGCAGACGTCTTTCGTCCGTGCTAGGAACCACCCGAACGCTGGCTGGGCGAAAAAACAGTTCAACTTGTGGGCAATGTAGATGAAAGGTCAGGGGGGGGAGCACCCCCCAACCTCTGCTTTTTGAACAGCAGTCGGGATTTTGGACATGGCAAGAGCAGTTGGCGGGGGGTGCTGGGGAAAAGAACTGACCCTCTCCCCCCCGGTTCTGAACCT